CTGTATTTGACCTGCACTTCCTAATAAAAGAGTGCAGGGTAAGGTTTCCACCCTGTGCTAGAGTTAGGGTGTCTGAAAACTTTTGAATCATACCTAGAAGATTTTTGATACTCTACAAATCATTCAAGGAAGAAAAAATTGCAAGCTCTGCAATTCTGGTTAGGACATCATGGGTGAGAATGGGAGAAAGACAGTCAACCTATTGAACTTGAGTAAATTCTAAGCTGCTGGTATCCTTAGCTGTCGCTTCCATTTCCTCCTCCTTCCATTCCTCTGATAGCTTAGGTTTCACTTTTAGATTCTCTACTACTTCTCAATGCTGTCTTTTCCTAGGTGGCCCTTCAAAATGATCTACCTTCTCCTCATCCCTGTAGCAGATCTTATGCTCAGTAGAACCACTTACCAAGTGCTTAGATGCTTTAAGACAAAAACTCCAGTGCTTGAATCTTATATATCTAGGGTTGGAACATGTAATTATTCAAGAAGAGCTCAGTGATTTTAAATTCCTTAAGGCTGATGTATGACTAATCACTAAGTCATATAATCTATTATACTTGAGAAGAACATCAAGAAGGTCATCCAAATAAACTATGTCAACTATGAATGTAATATAGTTAAGCACTGCAGTATTGCTCTCATAGATCAGCCACTTTTTGGACCAGTTTGTAACTCATACAAAGTTAGTGGAAGGACTGAGATTCAGAAATGCTTGATATTCTGCAGAGAGAGCCTCACTACAGGGAATCTTGTCATTAGATTGTTCCTACAGATAAAGAACTGATTCAATAAATGACTGCTCCATCCTCTATATCAAGATTTTTACTACTTTCTTTATTAAGAAGGTGTTGCTTAAGAGGAGTCAGCTCAGTGCTTTCTTGGCTGTTTTCAAGAGTCCCAATATGGTTTTTATTGGTATTTGAGTTTAAGTTATATCTGTAGCTTTGTTTTATTACCTTGACTTATCATTTGCACTTCAGTTATTGGTAGAAAAAGAAAAGAAAAGCCTGATATGATGAGGTTGATAGGACAAATGCAAAGTAAATTGAAAGTGTCTTTACAATGAGGTTTACAGTGTGGGGAAAGCAGTATGAATGTGATGCTCTTCCATAAAAGCTTGGAATAAGCTTTTGCATATAGTCAGCTGCAGAGTTGCAGTTACTGGCATTGTCTATTGAATATGAACCACAAATACTTTCAACGATATACCTTCTTTTCAATTCCAATGTGTTGGAGACAATCAACAGTAACCTTTACAAGGTACTCTTTTGTATGACTTTGCATGAGACTAGAAAATGAATCAAATACAATAACATAGCACCATATAACAAGTAAATACATATCAGATGAACCTGAGTATTGATCATCAGATCTTGCTGTGGTGAAACTAAACAATGACAATCCTTACCAAATTAGCATTCAACCATAAAGTGGTCTGTTATCTAAGATAAATGTGAGAATTAAAAGTCTAGCCAGTAATTTAAGTAATGCATGTAGTTGCAGATTGGCACCATAAAGTCATTTGCCTCTACTCTATTATTTGTCTCCATTCTATCATTTATCAATAATTCTAACTAGGCAGATACAAAACTTAGTTAATTATTTTTTAATCCTCATTCCTATGTTAAATATTATTTACATCACAGTCTTTCTATTACCATCACTATGTTTAAGTTCATTGAATTTGTTTGATCTACTATATTACCTACTACATATCATATTCTAACTTACTTAGACTTGTACTAGCTTATACCTCTGTTACATATCTAGACATATCTAAACAGACAAATAGACAGATAAACTCTGAAATTCAAATTCTTATATGCCCTCACTTTTTCACTAATATCAATTGAGCATCAATAAAGTTCATACTATATACTAGCCTTTGTGTATGAAATTCAGACTCATAGAGATGCTAACAATCAACTGTATTTCTTGGAAAACCAAATTATGGAAAAATGTGTATGTAGTTAACTACCATAGCCTGAACCTATATAGAAGATCATTTTCCAACAGACAGCCTATTTTACAATATATAATAAGAGTCCAATTGATCTGAATCACTTTTTATCAATATTTAATATTTTTCATATTGAATCTAATGTTTTGATACTTAGACTTCATGTTAGCTAATTGAATATCACATGTGCTCATTGACAATAATTTTGGGAGGGTGGCAGACTCTAGAAAGTTGTCTATAAATGTTTGGATTTATGTAATGCTGCAGAATATTATAAGTATTATTATAGACAGATAGTATATAATAAAGCACACAAATAAGTGAGTCCTCAATAGAGACTGGAAGCCAAAGATACATCTATAACTGGCTATGAGAATATATAGTTGAGGATAAGTGATGAAGGAGGTGTAGATGTAATGGAACTCTTAGAATTGAACAAGTTAGTCAGGAGTATTATTATCATGTTAGTCTAGGTTATCAAAAACATTAATTGATTCAAGAAAGCTGACATGCCATTACTAGTAACAGTAAGACATGAAACCTCAATATCTGTTTGCTCATTTTCTTCTAATTTATCTTCAACAATAGCTTTATCTTCACACATATCATGAAGCTACTACAAAATATTGAGGTGAGAGAGTTATCCAGAGTATTAATAGGTATAGAAGTAACAATGTTTGATTCAGCCATGTAATAATTCAAGGTGGTTCATCATACATAGAATGTGTTTGGACTCAACTCTTATGTATTATATTGCTTCAGCAACCTTTGCTAGTGACTTGGTATGTAATAATGTGCCAAACTTCTCAATTTATAGGGCCTTTGTCATATCCCATGTTCTGGACCCGGACCTATCACACACATTATTTCCAGACATCTGGATCCAACTGACTTCTACCTATTATCTGGACCCGACCCGCGTCTAACTTCCGTGCCTTATCCCTTTGAACGTTCCTTCTCCAGTTAGACTATAATCCTTTTCCGTATCTCATTTCATTTCCGCCTTTATTTTCCTCTGTTCTCATTTCCATCTTCATTTACTATTTTCCAATAGACTAGTGTTTGACTCCTTAGTTCGAATATTATCTTAGACTCTGCTCATTCCCTCCTCCATCCAACTTGAGTTCTCTCTCGTCGATCTCCACTTGTCTTAGGATTGACTCCTATAGACTTGTCACCTCTGCCTCTACCTCGGGTAGTCCTCCGCTGTTTCCTTTCTAGTTTGGACATTGTCCAGATTAGTCTTATCACCTGTTCCCGAACATCTGCCGGAATTCCCATGCATCGGACATTAGACTCCAGATATTGTCCAGCAACCTTCAGACATCATTTGACAGCCTTCAGAAGTTTGGGACACATACTTGGGTAAGAGGCGCAGCACACGAGCTGAAGCCATGCCCTTCGGATCTGACCCTTGAGCATGTTCTTAACAGCCTTTAGGGATCATATGAATTTTTAATTTAATTTAATTTTCTAAGCCTAGGTTGTGTAAAAGTGACATGAGAGAAAAACAACATCCAGAAAGACAATTCATAGTGCATTTAACTTGTAAGTGTCTTTTTATCAGCCTCATTTTAACCTATTGCTTGTTTCCAGTGACCAAGAAAATTCTGCAAAAGTGGCCTATTATAATCTACATGAGTAGCTTTTGTAGATTTCTGAGAAATGAAATACAAAAACCACCAGAATGTCTTCTTTAGCATCATTGATGACTATGCCAATGAAGAGCAACAATTGAATATATTGATACCAAAAGTTCCATAGAGAAGTAGGTTCTTATAACCATATATCACCAGACTATTTTCTGCTGTTCTGAAGTAGAGATAACAATTATAAAGTGATCTGAAGAGTCTTTTCTATAAGGCTTGTATATAGGCAGACATTAGTGAGTGTAGAGTCAGCTAGGCTGAAATTAGATGATTGGAATCACTTTTCGAGATTCTCCTTAGCTGCTGAATGTTATAGTATACTAAGTGCAGCAAAGTACATAAAATAAAAAGAGGGAGTTTTATGATCATTAAAAATAAACCAATGGTGGATATTACTAGGGGCATTACCAAATGTTTCTTTTGCAAATTTATGGTAGTATTATTGGAGTTGAGTTATTGAAACCTGCAGCTTCACCACACTAAGAGCATAGGTTCAAATTTTAGCATATAAGCTTATCAGAGGATTATAATTTATCACAATGAGGAATTAATGTGGTCAAATATACCAGCAATCTTGTTAATGTACTTAGTAAAGTACATATAGTCACTGTCATTATATAGAATATTTATAAATGAGTTCGGTTAAATATATAGATTAGGGATGGATACAACAGGGTGCAGGCAATGCAGGAAGGTGCAGGAAGTGAGCTGAGGGCATTGGGAAGCAAGGAGAATAGATAGGAGACCTATAGATAAGAGACTGATAATAAATCTGGATGCTGATAAGAGATGGATGTGAAGATTGGATTTCTGGGAGCAATGGGCTTGACCAGAAGCGATACAGCAGTGTGTATGGGGGCTTCTGAAGGCACAAAACATGATGGGAGACACCCCAAGTCAGATATGTGATGAATAGACCTCAATATGAGGTGAAAGTGTGAAAAGGAGTACACTATGGGCTCAAAATTGATTGATCTCCAACTGATCTTCCTTATCACTTATGATCCAGATGCTCTACAACAACTCTGATGTGCTCAAGAGGGTTTTCAGGGTCACAGAAGACAATGATGAAGACCAATAAGGCAGCAGGTTGCAGGGGATTGAGATATGGAAGAAAAAAGTTGAAGATAATAGGAGATATGTGTAGATATGAGTCAGGTCTCAAAAAGGGAGATTAACTCAACCTCCTGTGAGCTGATTAGGGCAGGGAAGATGCAGATGGGAGTTTTCAATGTTAGGACATTTAATGGTGAAGGAATTAAGTTGATATTTTTAGTAGATCTTAAGCTATAGTGATTGATGTGGCACTTGTAACAATAGGTATTGAATTAACCTTCGGTACCTTTATCACATAGATGAATTCTACTCTCAGGGGAGATGGGCAAGCCAGATCCATGCAGAAACCTCTCAGCATCCCAGACTTGCTCTTAGAGTTCCACGATGCTGATGGTAGATGTTTACAGCTGTGGAACACAGAGATAACTTTTTCACAGACAGAATACAAAGCTCTCACAAAACGACAATGTGGGGCAAATCTAAGTAAAGACATACAAGTTATAATGTTACCCTCCATTTCAGAAAAAGAACATTATCACTCACCATCAGTGTCCTCTGTGGTTTCTCAAAGTATCGACAAAAAGACCAGGAATGCAGTAGTCAACTATTGCAAATGGCTTCACAAGTGCAACAACCCTGTCTTTGGTAAAGTGACAGGGTTTAAGCACACTTGGATATTGCTCACCGTTATGATTAAGGTTTGGCTTCACTATAATGACGGACAATTCAACATACTAGATGATAATCTCACATATTTCACAAGTGCAGTAAGTTCCACCTCCAGTCTCAAGTGCAATCTTACCTGATGTTGATTATAGCAATTAAGTCCTGACATGGACAAAGTCAGCCTTTGAGCAGTACAAAATATAGTCACTCACACACTATTGAAGATCAGAGATTGCATGCTGCAACATTTTGATGCGGTGTCAGAGGAAGAAGACAATGAGTTGGATGAATCAAATGAAGAAGAAAATGAGATCAAAGAAGAGGATGAGGATGAAGACCAAGAAGAGGACAAGTCCAACATCATTCAGGAATTCAATGATAGGTATAATTTTCAAATTTATCATAATATACAACACAGAGCACTTACATATGACAGTGTTGACTCTTTCAAAGCCACTCATGTGTGGACCCTCCCTGAATTGCCTATAGACTGGGACAGCATTTTTTTTCATCTTCAGAATGCTATAAGGCAAACTGGATACACCTATTATGCCACATGACATGAGGCCTTGATTCAGAAGCACAAAGCCAGACAATTATAGGTGGCATGATCTGGACTCCTCCTGATGCTTTCTGAAAGGCATTCAGATCAAAAAAATGGTGATAATTAACGAGAATATGATGGTAGGTAACTGACAATCAAATTTTCATTATCCAGTTCTCAGCTTTTTTGTTTATCCTTAACCCTTTGCCCTGCATCCTGCATCTCTGCCTCATGTTTCCTTAATGTCTGTGAGCATCACATGATATTGTCATGTAATATTCAATTAGTATACATGTAGTTGATCAAATATATATACTAGTTATATACAATATCAATTATATATATATATATGTATATAGCATATATTATGAAGTAATAACTTCTGCTGATGGAATGGTACTAAGTGCAGAAGTGTATAATATGTATGTGATCACATCTTAGAGCCTGGACAGCTACATTTATTTCTCAGTTTATTTTGTTCGTAACAATATATACAAATAACTGTGACAAAGTCGGCATATTACGCACTGTATAACATCACACCAAGGCTGAAATGCCTCCAGCTAATGAAATTTGGCAGTTCCATATATTGCAGATGGCAGCTGCAATGATCGCTCAACTTATTATGGGCCTTATAATTGCATATATGACTCCTTTTCTTGAAAGACAACCCTACCATATATCAGTACTCACTGGACATGCATGGGTGCAGGAACTCATCAACGGACACCCTGACCAGATCAAAACTGAACTCGGAATGAGGGAACATGTCTTCCATGCGCTCATAAACGAGCTTCAGACCTGTGGGCTATGTGACTCAAAATATATTCTGCTTGATGAGCAAGTCGCTATATTTCTCTATACATGTGTGACAGGGCTTTCAAGTCGCCATGTCACAGAACATTTTCAACACTCCCATACAACCACACAGAAGTTTGTCCATACTATTGCAAGATATTCATTGTCTCACATGCTGCATCAGATATTTCAAGAAAGTCCTGCTCGCTCTGTCTTCAGCTCCCTTCTACAATAAGTTTGTCTATCTACCACAGGAGGATGCACCTATTCCACCAGAAATATCTGGGAACCTGAAATTTTTTTCACACTTTGAAGGGGCACTTAGAGCCATGGATGGCACACACATCGCATGTTGTCTATCCACAGCAGAAAGGCAGCTGTCTCAAAACTGAAAAGTTTTGTCAGCCAAAATTGTCTTACATGCTGTTCATTTGATCTTTGGTTCCAGTATGTGCTCAGCGGTTGGGATGAATCGACCTCAGACTCAACTCTATATAATAATGCCCATCTCACTGACCTATACATTCTGCAAGGAAGATACTACCTTGCGGATGCTGGGTTTGGAATATGCTACTCACTTCTTGTTCCATACCAAAGTGTTTGGTACCACTTGACTGAGTGGGGTTGAGCTGCAGTTCAGTGAGTGATATTTCACTTGAACTATTGATTTTCTCATGAATGGCAGGCTGAAGAATTCAAAAGAAATATACAACCTTTGGCATGCTTAGGCTCGAAATGTGATTGAGTGAATATTTGGTGTTCTCAAGAGGTGGTTCATGATACTCATACATCCACTGGAATATAGATGTTGACACAAGCCAGAATTCCCCCAGCACTTTGTACCATTCATAACTTCATCCAAATTTTCGATCCAAAGGAAATGGAAGAATTTGCTGTCGAGGATCTCGTGGACCTTGGTACAGGTGAGCCAAGGGGTGATCTTGCTAAAGGACTGGAAGGCTGTACTGAAAGGCAAAAGGCGACAGAGGACAGAGATCGTATTGCAGATGCTATGTGGAGGGACTACAATAGAGTTTGTTGTGCTCGTCAGGACATGACAGGATGAGTGCACAATGCCTATACTACCTAGACATTCTATTTGTTGATATATTTGATCTTGTGGTCAACAAAAGACCTCCTTGGCCCTTTATCAGACATGACCATATATGTGTCAGCAGCACTGACATCCACCTAAAAAGCTTTGATCAGTGCGGCATGCTATCATCATCGAGATGAGTTTCTAGAAGTTGAGCACGTCACATTGCTGCCTGCTTGTGCTAAGGTGATAAGGCAATAGCTGATTTTTCTGATTGTGTTGCTTCATAAAAGATGTCAGTGAACTCTGAAAATTGATCATTTATTGCATAGAGTGCATTGGCTGATCTGCTGGCATGCTGACATTTTGATTGTAGACCAGAAGGACAAGACCCAGAAGGAGTAAGAGACGGAGTCAAAGACATGGCCACAAACTTTTGTTTTGAAGGAGGAGGAGGAGTCACTTCTCAAGGAATAATATCTTCTTCTTCGTCATCATCTAGTCCAGTCAATGAGTCTCTCTCCACAATCCTCTCAACATCTCCCTCAACCACTAAGTCCCCCAGGTCTCCCATCACAGGCGCTGCAGGCTCATTCTCAACAATATCAATACCTGGGCCTTCGCTGTTGACGTTGTGATAATCATGTTGTGATTGGAAGGTTTCCTGGCCTGCATGAAAAGCATTGGTGCTGCATGAGATCTGTGTGCGCAAAAGATTGTCCATCTCATCAAAGTGTTTCCAGCCTTTGTTGTGAAAAGGGCTTTGTATTGGGACATGTATTTGGAAATGCAGTCCAACATGTGGCATCAGCTGGGTCAATATTTGCACCAAGTTTGTTGTCCCACGAAAAGCCAGATTGCGATTTGATATCAATGATAGCAGTATGCTTTTTCTTGCACTGTAGTAGTCAGACTTTCAATCAATTTGAAAATAATAATGCATGTACCATGATCTATTTGTTAATATAGCCATATTTTGTACCTAACCCATTTATAGATATCCTATATAATATCTTGCAAGCAATGAGTGGTGGCTCAGAGATGGATAGTTTGTTCTGTTATACTTGTGTCTTATCACTATCATCCTTATCAGCCCCATCCTTATTGACTTGCAAGGATATATGTTAGAAGATTGTGGTGCTAATGCAAATGAAAAATTATAACTGGCCTATTATAGCATTAGGATCTGTGAGCCAACAGGCTTCTAGCTGAGCGCATCACTACCATGTTGGACAAGTCCAGCTTTGCAATGGCCTTTTGGGGTGAGTGTCTTGCAGCTTTGATTCATGTATGAAACAGGTGCCTCACTGCTGTAGTGGATAATATCATACCCTATGAACTGTGGCATGGGCAAAAACCTAATGTCTCCCACTTGAGAGTGTGGGGGTGCACTGCCTATATGCATGTGCTGAAGGACAAGTGCTCTGTGCTTGAGTCTTATATGGAAAGTGTGTATTTATTAGTTATCCAGATGACTATAAAGGCTGGAAGTTCTATAACCCCACCTCCAAGTGCACTCTTATTTCAGAGTGAGCTGACTTCAATGAGAGGCACCTGCTTCTCTCCAAAAGGCCTACTAGTGCGCTTCAGCCCTCCTCTTCCTTGCCCACCATTGAGTCTAGAGTGATTCCAGACTTTGATGATGATGATGATGTCAATTCTGATGAGACACTGACTTATGGAGGGGAGGGGGTAATATATCTGCCAGATCCACCAGTTCCGCCTGCCATTATGTCAGCACCCCTTGCATTGCCTCTTAAGTGTGCAGTCAATCCAGCTGTCCCAAATGTTCAACCTAGTGATAGACCTGGTGTCTTAGGGCCTGATCCAGCATCTCCTCAGCCTCTTGCACACGCACCAGTTATGCCAGAGATTCCAGTTCCAGCTTCTCCTATGCCTGTCTCTCCAGTTGGTATTAGTGCCAGACTGCCAGCATGAGACCATTGCCCTCCTCACAAGTGGTGTAAGCTCTCTAATACGCAGTTAGATGATGAGGTAGATGATAATATGGAGGATACTAATATGGGCTTTGAGGTGTGCTACTCTGTGGCTGCCTCAGCTGAGCCAATGTCATTTGCAGAGGCCCTGTGTCATTCTAATGCAGAGCAATGACACCAAACTGCACTTAAGGAGTTGGCTACTCACCAAAGCAATGGGACTTGGAGATCAGTTAAAAGGCCAAAAAACCATAAAGTCATTGGCTCCAGGTGGGTGTTTAAAGTCAAGCACAATGCTGATGGCTATGCCCACCATTCACATTGTCCTTACTATAGCTGCCATTCATGACCTCCACCTTTACTCTGTTGATGTCTCTCATGCTTATCTCAATAGAGAGATGGACTGTGAGGTCTACATGAAGCAACCTGAAGGCTTTGCTGAGGGCGACCCTAAGAGACTTGTATGTCTTCTGAACAAGTCCATCTATGGCACCAAGCAGGGAGGCAATCGCTGGAACAAAAAGATGAGAGCTGTGCTCAAGTCTCTTAGATTCAGACAGACATACTTGGATGCAGCAATCTATTTGTATTCTTGAGGTGAAGACCACATCATTCTGCCTGTCTTTATGGACGACATGACTGTGATAACAAAACTTCTTTTATGTCTCAAACTGAAAAGGCCACATACACTGGGGCAAATCACAACCAATATGGCAGCACAACTTACAGCTCAATACCACACTCATTGTCATATCCCGTATTCTGGACCTACATCCGATGATGTTCCCACACCTCATTCAGACCTCTGGACCCCATGTCCATGTCTCTAGACCCAATCCTCTATCTGTCTGGATCCCTGTACTCCTGCATCTGATATCCACATCTTCAGATCTCTGGATCCAACCTATGCTTCATATCCGGACCCAAACCTTAAATTAGCGCTCATTCTCTTATGGTAATCACCTGTCTCCGGTCTTTGGTTATCTCTGTTTCCATTTTGCTTATTGATCCTTGGACAAGTTTCATCTCCAGGTTCATTTCCTTATGATCTGTCTTATTTACTAATACATTTCCACATGCTTGTACATAGCCTTACCCCTCTGCTTACTGATCTGCACAGACTTGCCTCTAGTATATAAACCCCAGTAGATACTCCTGTATTTCTTTGGTCTGAATATCATATTAGTCCTTGCACTAGTCTTCGCACTAAGTCCTTATATTAAGTTCTAGTTCTCTGACTTAGTTAATATCCATCTCAGGCCTAGGGAAAAATTACCTAGGCCGGAGCTTCACTTCTCCACTCCTTCAATCCTCTGCTCATCTGATCCTCCATTCCTCTGAGTTTCCAGAAGTTCCTCCGGATCTTTCCCACAGTCCTCCAGACCTATTCTGCTTTGGACTTTGTCCTTGCAGCCTCTCCTCTTTTTGCTTCTACTCAGGACTTGTCCTGAGTAGCCATTACATATATCCATATCAGGACGAAACCTCATTGTAATTTCCAGAAGTTCCTCCAGAACTTTCCCGCACTCCTCTGGAAGTCCTTCAGACTTCCTTGGACTTTCTCCAGACATCATTCTGAAATTAAGGGCACATACTTGGGTAAGGGGCATAGTGCACGAGCTGAAGCCAAGCCCCTCAGAATCAGTCCTACCCTTTGTGCATGGTCTTAATACTCATGTATTCTCTGTCTTGACCATACAAGATCAGGCATATATCATTAGATGGGATAGGGATGGAGCTGTTTATTACATCTCCTATCTGTGTTAAGAATGTGCTCAAGGATCAAATCTGAAGGGCTTGGCTTCAGCTCGTGCGCTGTGCCCCTTACCTGAGTATGTGCCCCTAACTTCTGAAGGCTGTCAAACGATGTCCAAAGGTTTCTGGACAATGTCTGGAGGTTGTCAGGTAATGTCCAGAGTCCAATGTCCGATGCGTGGGAATTCCAGTGGATGTTTGGGAACAGGTGATAAGACTAATCTGGACAATGTCCAAACTAGAAAGGAAACAGCAGAGGACTACCAGGGGTAGAGGCGGAGGTGACAAGTCTATAGGAGTCAATTCTAAGACAAGTGAAGGTCGACGAGAGGTCTAAGATAATATTCGAACTAAGGAGTTACATAGATTCTACAGGGTTTATATACTACTGAGGACTTATCGGAGAGTCAGCCAGCACAGTCTGAAGCTATGCAAGGCTGTGGACGGAGCATATGAAAAAGTCAAACACTAGTCTATTGGAAAATAGTAAATGAAGATGGAAATGAGAACAGAGGAAAATAAAGGCGGAAATGAAATGAGATACGGAAAAGGATTATAGTCTAACTGGAGAAGGAACGTTCAAAGGGATAAGGCACGGAAGTTAGATGTGGGTCGGATCCAGACAATAGGTAGAAGTCAGTTGGATCCAGATGTCTGGAAATGATGTGTGTGATAGGCCCGGGTCTGGAATGCGGGATATGACAATCTGTTATAATACAGAGCCACACTTAGCCAATTTTTTCCATCATTACACCTTGATACCAATACACACCTGCCAAGGACTCTAGCATGTTACATTGATATTTCCTGGACTATTGCAATTGGTCTTCTGCCTGTTGGCCATGGTACACATAATGTCCTGCATACAATCACCAGCTGCTTTTGCTCCTTGACATCACTTGGCATTAATTTGCATTTCTTTCTGCCTGTGAAACTGCAGTTGATGTATTTAGTGCATAACTGCCTGAGTACTGCACCAAGCAGTCCAGTTGTTGGCTTGTGACATGGACATTTCACATTTGAACCTCAAAAAACCAAACATGACCACTCTAAACAGTTTGCAAAGGTTCAATTCAGGGTTTGTTGACTCTGGTAAAACTAGACCCAGGTTTGGCACTTGTGCCCCCACTCTCAACCTTGCCTCTATACTCATCACTTCACCATTACTAAAAATCTTCTCAAAAAACCCTTCTATATTGTCACACCATTTTGTTTTCATTTTCTCGCCAAATGGTTCCTGGTTCTTGCTCAACACCCGCTGAACCAGATTGAACCAGACCACAGCAGCACTACTTGGACCAGTGTACCTTCATTTTGTCTGTTAAAACATTGAAAAAAAATTCATGTTTCAATGATTTTCTGTGTGCGGGACATGATGCAAAAATTCATCATGTTCCTTCAAGGATAATGCTATATTTTCCATCTATTGTGTGCAGAAAACAATGTATAATTTGTGCATATTCTGAGGCAGAGTATCCTGCAATTATGTTTCATTTTTTTCTCTGAACATAATAAATGTTTTTCAAGTGTTGTGCAGGAGGAATATACTGCAAACTTTATGTATTTATTCTTACAAAACATGGGGCATGTTTCATAAATTTCCTCTTATCAAATATACAAATGAAAGTTTGAAAGTTTCTTTGCTTTTCCTTAACAAAACATTGTCAAAATATATTTCATTATTTGTTATATGATTTTTTAATGTTCTTGAATCAAACATATGGTGAACAGGATGAAGTAATTGAGATTTTTGATACACAGAACATTGGAAAAACAGAGGCAAAAAATTTAACATGATTGTAAATTGTTATTTGAGGAACAATGAATGAAAAATATAGACTGTTTCTTGAGGGAAAATGACTCATTTTTAGATTATGTCTTGCATACAGAAAATCTTCAATACATTCATTATTTTTTTCAATGTTTTGATACACACAATGCAAGGAAATTTCTATCTTCTAATTCAATGTTTTTTAGATGTTTTGTGGAGGAAAATGAGGAAATGCCTGCAGTGTCTGTATTCACTGAGTTTTATGTTGACCACACTGAGCCTTTAAAGGTGCTGGAACATTACAAGAATAAAGATCAATGTCAGAAATTTCCAGAGATGCCTTGTGAGTATTCTGTATTGGGACACTATTTAGGTAGTATTGGAAGTAAATTCCCAGGGGGTGACTTACTTGCAAGTGTGCCTAGAGCACTTCCAAGTTGATTCCAATGTATTATCAATACTGATTCAAATTGCTAACCTTGCCTCATTGATTCCAAATCTTGACTTCTCCCATCATTCTCTAACTGTATATACTGCTATTAACATGGCCCCAAACCGATGAAACATGGACCGGTCTAGTGTAAATATATTGCTTCAACATCATCCAACAAGCAAGTCAGTTGTCAATATTGTAATAGCCCATACTCAGCATGTAGGATTAAATCCCATGAACAAGGATGCTTGAGGAAATGAAATAAAAAAAACAATGAGAAGGATTTTGCAGCACTCGCAGTATGTGCAGTGGAGGAGGAACTGCACAGGAAAGGTAAGTGATCACACATCCTGTCTTCATTAACATGATATTATTGACAAGTTTTACTGATAATAATTCTCGCATAATTGTTAGAGGTCCATCAAGAGAAAAGACAGCACCATCATAAGGAGCAGATGATGATGTCTTCTGTTGCTACTGCCACTACTGTGTTGGTCCCAAATTCAGGAATAGTCCTGGATCTGGATCACTTGCCCAATTAGCCTGATCAATGGTTTGACATCAGCTCTACTACAGGTCTGTCATTTTAAGGCAGTCAAATGTCATTGATATGATGAGTATCAGTGGAGATGCATGCCAATGTATGTATTGTTATTCTTATTCATGATGTGCTCCCTTTCTGATTTTAATTGCAGATTCAGAATCAGATACAAGCATGGGAATCCCTGCGCATATCACCCTATCATTAGTCCCAATTGCACCTTCAACTTGCTCCAATCTCAATACCTTCAAGATGGAATACCACCCACACAGCGGCCATGTGACCTCTATAGACACATTCTTCACCTTTAGATACAAAGAGCATCAACAGTCATCTGTCATCAATGATGAACCCTGGCAGCCTTTTTCCTGTCGTGCGGACTTTGAGCTTGCTGAACTTGCACACCAGGCTACCTTGAACAAGAATCAAACAGATGAGCTGTTGTGGCTCATCTGGAGAATTGCTGATGGCCAAGCCAAATTTACGTTGAAGTCTCATGGCAATGTTTTGAAAGCCTGGAACAGGGCAGCCGGTCAAATGACACCTGTGAGAGAAGAATGTAATTTCATTTTATTGCAGTCATATTATATGTTCTCTTAGTTCGAGAAGCACACCATCACCGTCCAGCACAAGTGTGAGGATCTTAAGTATGATGTATATACATGGCTATTGTGGGACTGGGCCTTAGACTTGTTACAAGACCCACTGCTGGCACCCCATTTTTTTTGGATGCACAGCAGTCATACAAGCATAATGGGACACATTACAAGCACTTTGTACATGAACCTTGGACTGGAGACCATTGGTGGAAAGTTCAAGTATGCATGTCTTTTGTATTATCGTCCATTTGTGATTCTAAATGATATCCTTCTTTGCATATTAAATCTGACAGTCATCTTTGCCTGAAAATGGTGTCCCATTCACATTTATATCATATGCAGATAAAACACATCTATCTTCTGCCTGTTTTAGAAACAACAATACAGCGAGGCACAAACAAGGCTCCAGACTGTATCTATAAATGTTGTAAGGTCACACATTACCTAGTCTGCTATACTTGAGATGACAAGTGTGTTCGACCCTAAAGGGGAAGTGAGTGCAGCAAGGATCTAGTAGTATGCGCTGAAGGTGGTACTGGTTGGCCAATGTGAAGCATGAGAAAGTGCAGGTGTGCATGAGACACGAAGGCATGGGAACATGTGCGCGTACTGTGCGAAGCGCAGGAAAGCACATGTGTATATGCAGAAACAAGAGAGAGTAAGAGTGAATTTGCTTAAGTGATGATATGATGTAAGATAAGAGATGTGAGATGCGATGTGCCAAAGAATAGATTTCAACTATGTTCTGCTAGGTAGTAAGTGGTGAAAGTTAGGTCAACCAAAAGGTGTCTACTGCTGGCACTTATATATGGCACCTAAGCGCTGTCATGTGGAGCTGAAGCGCTACCGAGTAAGGTATGTAAAGATATATGTAAGTAAGGGTCCATGATAAAAATAAAGGTGGAACAATATGCAAATAAGGGAAATGGAAATATACGCACTAGAGAGCTTGGTGGACAGTGGATGGATGCTTCTGGATGGCTGGCGCTATAGGGCACTCAAGCGTGGGAAAGTGTGCGTGCGCATATACATCGTGAAGTGCAGGAAGTGTGTGCACATGGCACACATTGCGTGGGGAAGCTGCACCTCATATAGGAATAGCTGTGGATAGCACACAGAGTGGTGCTGCAAGTTCGTGCCATGTACTCCCTAGTGAAAACTGCCATATCACGCAATGAGAGGCATGAGTCTCTACACCATACAGTCAAAGCCTACCCTGTCTTCGCATGATGTGGAAACTTGCCTGTCAATATTAGGAACACAGATGGACTCGGCGGTGGGCAAATGGTTGGCTGGCTCCCAATAGTAAGTGAAATTAGTCTTACTTTCAAGTTTCATTGGTGAAGGAGTTCTTTTGCGCAGGTTCCTGACAACTCTGATGAGGATGGAAAACTCACGTATGTCAATCTCAAATGTGTCATATGGCACAAGGCATTCTTCAAGCTACTGGAAACTATTATAATCTATGCTGAGACAGGGTATGTGTACATGTGCTATGACAGCATCATGAGATGGCTGTATGTGTTCATCTTGCTCTTATTGGCCGATTATAAAGAGCAGTAATGTCATTTTGAACTATTTTCTGTTGGTGTTTTCTGATTTAATCTTAGGTGCATGATGGTGCTAATAAGAGGAACCAATTGTCACTGTCCCTGTCCTATCTGCCTCATCCCTTCAGACAAACTCTACAACAACACTTCTACTTATCCAACTTGATCATCCAAAGATGCAAAAGCTTTGGTGGAGCTATGGACTAGGGACCATGTAGCTGGAGAAAAGACACCCAAAGAACAGGGCCTACGGCCTATTGAGGTCAGCATCTGCAATCAAATGTACTCATAATTGGCCCCCATTAATGACAACACCTTATAGAATGTCTTCTGGAAAGTCCCAAACTCCAATCCTCACTACACAATTTCGCAGGACCATTTACATGTGTATCATATGGGTCAATGGAAACATCTTTTTGGTGAGCTCAAACAATGCCTTGCAGCCCTTGGATGCAATGCCGACAAGAAACTGGACGACCAGTGAGTTTTGATTGTCTGGACTCTTATTAAGTAACTCTATTTAATTGCTTACAGGTTCAATGCCTTCCCGTGATGGCGCAATCTAAATCATTTTGATTGGGTTACTAATATCATTTACAGTGATGGTAACAAACTTCAGGATATCTCCAAGGTACGACATCACTTCATGACAATCAGTTCTCCATTTTAATGAGTTTCTCTTCCTATAGCAAATCTTGTATGCCGCTCAGAACATACTTACACGCACAGCGGATGAAGTTGGCTATGCACTACTACAGTGTATAGCGAGCTACCTACATATCGACATGTATATTTCACTCAAGGTTCAAACTGAAAGCACAATTGCTGCAGGGAGGGCAGAGGTGTTAGAGTTTCAGAATCGCTTAGAGGTACATGACATTGTGACCCCGTGATTTACATGTACTAATAGTATCAACTCACTTGTGATTGATATCTCAGGAGTACATTAAGATTGTCAAGAAGACTGAACCAGACATGATGAAGAATTGGAACTTCCCGAAGATTCATTCTGGAAAGCATATATTCAACAATATCATGGCAAAAGGTACCGCACGGAATGTCAGCACTCGACCAAATGAGAAGCAACATGGCCCAATCAAATGTTGGTATCTATGGCAAACCAATCATAAGGATATTACTAATCAGGTATGTTGATGCATTTCTAACTCCCAATGAGTTGCTCCACACTAGTACTAACTTTGTGTAATATCAATTAACAGATTCTTGAGCTCAATCATAGGAGCATTGTCTCTGAATTTATTTGCAGCCATATCGAGTGCCTTGATGAAGCACGATGCAAACTCATACTCTCACAGGAAGAACTTAAGGACATGGATGAGGATGATGAGCCATTTGAAGAACATTTTCATCTTAATTCACCCCTCAAGAATCATACAACCCTTGCGCAGCTGGAGGAAGAGAATAAATCAATTTGTGTGTTTCACCAGTTCTGGAAGAAACTCGCAACATTTCTCAATCATTTCCTTCCCTCCCACAACACACCATTACCAGAGAAAATAACGTGGTTGAGGCTTTCAGCACAAGACAGGGTAAATGCTCTTTCCTTACTGTTATTCAAATCTGACATGATGTGTCAAAAGATCCACAAATATTGATACTTGAAAGTGAATTATGAATCTACTGCCGACTGGAAGCTAGCTACTGACTACCTGCGGTCCAATGCAAGTTTCCATGGCAAAGAGCAGCATGACTGTGCTCTAATACACACACAAGACAAGGATGGCCACGACAAAAATATCATTGTGAAGATATTGTATATATTCAAGTACAGCATTGGTGACCGCACCTTAGATCTTGTGCTTGTTCTACCCATAGATGCCTTAATTGGCCCACGTTGGCGTATGGATCAGGAATTGTGACTAACTCAACTTTGCGCACGACTCACTTCTTCATCTGAGTTTATCACACTTCATTCCATCATTTTTGGTGCTCTCCTTGTTCCAGATTTTGCTAATGATGGAGATTATTTTCTTGTAGATACCATGGATGCTGACATGTTTCTTTGTACCATACATTCATTATAGTACCCCCATCCCTACCAAGATTGCAAGTAGAACTACTCCATTTTACCGCAGCTTCCTGGTCATGTGCTCGCTTCATTACGCACCTTTCACCTGTCCAGAGTACCCTCCTTCATCTTCTAACTCACAAGTAAAGCTCCCCCATTTCATCACATATGCACTTCATCATGCCAAACTCCATTCTTCTGTAACCTTCACTACCTTCATCCTGCCCCAGAACCTCAAGGTGCCCTTTCCTACCTCATCACTCAACCCACAACAAGACATTCTGACCCATTCTATGGTCATAAGCAGGTTTCCCGATCATGTGCTTGCTTCATTACACATCTTTTACCTGTCCAGAGTACCCTCCTTTGTCTTCTAACTCACAAGTAAAGCTCCCCCATTTCATTGCATACGCACTTCATCATGCCAAACTTCATTCTTCTGTAACCTTCACTGCTTTTATCCTGCCCCAGCAACTCAAAATGCACTTTCCTGCTGGCAGGCTTTAATTCCCGTTTATGTGCTCACTTCATTATGCATCTTTTGCCCATGCAACAATTGTATTATGTATTCAAGTAAGTCGTGATGATATTGTATTTAATTTGTGTGTGTGATACTGATATGATGCTGCCACTCTATTACATCCACAGGGTTTGTTGTGACATCATCTGGACAATGCTGCAACCTTCACCGAAACCTGAAACACTCATCATTACATATTTTCAACAAGTCTGAGGCGTGTATTAACTCGTTATCTAATGTTGCATGTTATCATTATTACTTTCAAAGTATATGTTAGGGCTGATTTAAAGCTCATGCAACTGATTGAGACTCCAGTCTGCTGTTCTTAAAGTCCACTTCAATGTGCTCCTCACTCACTATGATTGATATGCCTCCAATTCAGCACAACCAAGGCAAAGACTTTACTCAAGAAATCGATGACATCAACAGCAACTCCACTGACTCAGATGGAACTGACAGCCTTGGTGATTCAGATTTGAATGATGATGCAAACTTATTGCGGATTCGGGATGTGGTTGTCACTCCAGCTGCTAATGCATCCACTCAAGATCTTCGCAAGGTAAGATCTTTTTGTTACATATGGTCAATATTTATAATCATCATATCTATTAATAGGTGCTTGAAATCACACAAAAACTCCTTCTCGACATAGACAGAAAGCACTGGGAGACATTAAAGAAGGTCACTTTACTCAAGGCTACAGTCTCAAAAGGTCAGAAGATGAAGCTTACCAAGAAAGATCTTGCCCTTGTGGCCAAGGAAGACAGCATCAGAAATTTTGGATGCAAGTTCTCAATCACACACTGCTTACAGGTCAAAACATCAATTTTTTCCTTGTGCAGGGCACCTCCCAGAATTAACCTCTTGAGCAAGGAGTGGTGGCTCTCACTACTATTGATTCAGGATGGCATCAAAGCCAAACTTTTCCAATTTATCCCACCAGCTGACCACAATATGATGGCTCATAAAAACTTTGGCTCCCATGTAAGTGTTTCCATCTGTGATCCTGCTCAATGATAAACTTATGGCCTTTGCAGTTTGTGAAAGGTGTCAACAATGTTCATGCTGAAATGCTCTTGGATGTCAAGTCATGTGCAGCAGCTATTTTTGGTTTGGATGCCAAGTTTTTCATACAAGGTTATACACAGGACATGGAGCCTGCTTGCAAATCTCTGCTCTTCAATCCCCAAGGCCTATATACAAAGTTTGCACTAGTTCTTTTCCCTCGTCCAGACCATATTGTCAGAGATGAATTTCTGAAAACTGCCAAACTCGTTTATGTAGGTTCTTCCCTTCTCTCTAAGTAGAACTAGTTAAATGGCATTTGTAGATTCTGAAAGTGTTACTCTTTGGCCAATCGTCACTTGCTGCCCATGCAGTTCCCACTCCAAAAACAAAGGCTAAAATATAGGAGTTACACACTGCAACTCCTGGTCTCATTGCAGCAGCAGCCATCATTGTATGTTTTTTCTTCCTACATTGCATAATGTTGATGCTTACAAATTTCAGGCTATATTTGTTCTATCTAGCAACAAAGAGTTGGTCAAAGTCAGCGACAAATCTCGCATACCATACAAAGACTACCATAACTACTATCGACAATCGCTCTTGACTGGAGGTGCCTGGGCAGATGGAGTTTCAACTTCTTCAACAACTTGCTGTTTGCCACTTCTTCTTCCGCTGCATTGAGTCTCCTCAATTCAGACTTGTTAGTCGGCGACTCAACAAGTGGTCCACATGACAGCTGGGAAGAAATGTTTGAGTGTGCAATGGAGACTGAAGCTGAACTACCAGAACTGGATGTCAGCCCGGTCATTGAAGTGCCTCCTTTTGCACCTCCTACTGCACCCCAATCAATCTCTGCAGCCATGCAAGGTCTAGCTTTGGCTGAGGACCATCATCAAGACCCACTACCTGTGGCAGTTAATGAGGACAAGCCAGAACTACCTGCATTAGTGCTCGAGGCTCCTGTTGCTGCCCAGAAGCCAAAGCTAAAGCCAAAGCCAAAGCTGAGGTGGAAGGGCAAGGCTGATGTTACTAATAACAATACTTCGGAAGATCAAGGTCTTGCTAACTTTGAACCATTGTCAGCATAAGTAATATAATAAATAGTGCCAAACAATTACAATGAACTTGGAATGTTTTTGAATCACACTCACTTACATTCCAACCATGATGACTAGTGATGTGTGTGGCCTGGCTTCAGGCTGTGGGCCAGGCCAGGCCAGAATAAGCCAGGCCAAGCCAGGCCAAAGGTCACGGCCTGACCATGGCTTTGGCCTGGCTCAGGATGTTGAAAAGCCAAAGCCAAAGCCCAGGCTGTGGCTTTGGTACTTAGTAAGTGTAGTTAGTAACCTCACATCTATTTTTGTTTCTCCGAAGTTTCTGTTGCTACCTGCAACTCATTTTTATATCACACCATGTCAGAAAACAGTGAGTTGCCAATTCCACATCATCATAACTTACTTTTGTGTCATAGGTGCATTTATTGTTATCTGATGTAGAGACTGACAGCTTTGTGGCCTCGTAGAGGTCTAATTTCTGATGCATGTAGACATGCTAATCATCACCCAAATCATTCCTGTCATATCTGACTCGATATGTACCAAACCCAAAAACATCGGACATCACATCAGGTTTCACATCGGTGAAGGTACAACAATTCAGATGGTGAGTCTGAACAATGTTGGGTCTTGCAGGACCTAGCTGCTATTCGACCCTAAAGGGTTTCTGGACTAGGCTTAAGGCTCAGAGGAGAGGAAATATCATAGAAAACTGCTGAGCACTCAGACTCATACTGATACTGGTGAAAAGATTGCTTGCTTATGTAAGCTACAAAAGTGCCAACATAAAATAAGGTAAAAACAGTCTCTATAAGCCCAGCCAGAAATGAATCCCTACATAGGATTTCACATCAGACTATCGGATATTGTGCGGACTCGTCCTACCTATGTACAGTCTCATTGTGCTAGCCTCACTAGGTGTGTAGTTACTTGTTTTCACATCCCTAACATTTCAGACCGCGTTATTACATGTATTCTCATGATCCGCAGTACATCATGTCTTATTACATACATAGAACATCAGATCCAAAACATTGCACTACTACTTTCGCCTATAGGGTTCCGTATTTTTATGTATCTACATAAATATTGGACTCCCCATAGCTTCTTCATCATCCAAGTAGAGGAGAGTCATTCTCCGACACTTAGGGGTCAAATCCGATATTTCGTAGTTCTTAGTTAACATTGTGAATATCATTGTTCCTTTACCATCTGTATCCTTCATCGTTATTATTGTGCACACCACTCGCTTTTCCAATGCTCACTATCATGTTACTATTAGTTTCCGATAACCCAAACCCAAACCCGACAAACCCGAAAACATCAGACATCGTAATTATACCTTCAGACATTGTTTCCTGCACTCGGATTATTGACCCCACATCACTCACTGACCCCCAAAACTATTCCCAGACCGCAGACCCCTGGGTCAAATGCACTTGTCTCACCAAGTATAGCAGACTAGGCAGTGCAAGACCACAACATAAATATATCAGTTTGGAGCCATCTTTGTATAGCCCCACTCTGTGTTGTATTCCTACACTGAGTTGGCCTACTTCATGCTCCCTACACTACTCGAACTCGAGCACATTACTTGATGTCTTCCTTCCTTCCTGCTTGTCTCATCTCATCCATCTCCTCTCCCTCATTCTCCTCACTCTCATCTGCTGTCCGCATTCATCTGAGCCATGTCAGCAGTTGCTGACATGCACTGGGCGTTTGCGCATGGTGTCTGTGGTCTCTTCCATTCCCCTTTGTTTGGGTCTGGCCATAATGAACCACTGTCCCATTGGCCTTGAAGTGGTGTGCCAGGAGTCCAGAAAAACCCAAATGGCCAAGTAGGCAAATAGCACATCTCCTATATGACAAGGTCAGTCATTTTGCAAACAAGTAACTTGACTTTGTTACCTCAAAACCACAGGCCAGTCGGCACTTCACCCACACGCTCCAGTCCAACCAGGAGATTAAATGCATCACATCCTCCTTCTATTTGCCCATGAGAGTATGTATGTGATCAACTTCAGGGCACTGTTCTGGTCGACTCCTAAATTCATTCTGGAAGCCCACATCTTCATGATGATGCAACATATTTCATGTGTAGTGTCCTGCGCCGCCTGCAGGAGCAAACGTTCGGAGGGCATCAATGATATTCCACAATGCGCTATGGAGGCCGTGTGCGATACAGCACATTCCAAAATGTTGTAGTTTGCTGAGTCATTTACATCACTAATCTTTACAACTCACATGTCAGGCATAGCTCATACTCACTTTGTCAGAATCACAAATTCCCTACTTGAGCCATGGCTCAGGCCAGAGCCATCTGAAGCCAAGCCAAAGCCGTGGCTTTTGGGCCAAGCCGGGCCAGAACATCACTAACATTGATGACACTCATATGCCATTGTCCCTGTCGTCAACTCCCATCTTTCCTACAATTTGTCATGCTCAGGTTACTGCCATGTGTAATTTCATCATGGAGATTCTCATTGGGTAAAGGTAAGTACACAATGCAGTTTCCGTTCAGCCCTTGACACTAACATATTGCTATCCTTCTTTATAGGCACTAATAGTAACCTCAGCCATGTCGCTGCATCAAATTATGTGCCACAAGCACCCACAATCTCTGGTGCTCCTCAGGTACAATTGCAGGAGCGATGTTTGTGGCCAGTTCTGATATGGTAAGCTCTTACATTTGCACCAAATCACTGACAAGGCTCGCGAGTTTGGCACCAGTCCTCTTTTTGACAAGATCCTTCCCTTGCTCATGGAACATATTCTTGAGGATCAAGAGTGCCACCTATTTGTGAAGGTCATTGTGTCCTGTACAAGCTCAATGATCTTGTCCATCCGTACATTCACAAAATTCTCATTGTTATTTTGCATCTTCACTGAACAACTGTTATAGAACCATCCTCAGCATTAGATTGATGATGCAGGTCACACATGCATCTGGTGTCTCAGCACTGTGATGCCGCCCTCCACCTGCCCTCAGTTTCTCATATGGACCTCTCACACCCTCCCGCCATCAGCACCCTCATGCCCTCCTGTTGTCTTGTACCCTCCTGTTGTCTCATACCCTTGAACCCAAAAAAATACATCTGCTTGCATTCATTGTCACCTTGTATTTCCTTCTTTTGGATCCACCCCTGGCTATGCTCAGTCCAGCCCAACCACCCTAAGATTGTGCACCAACAAACAGCAGCCAAAGGTGGTGTCAGTATTCAGGGATTGAAGTACCTTATGCTATTAGTATTGTGTATTGTTAGTATTAGCATTATTGTATATATTTGAATAGCATCCAGATTTTAGATTTCCAGGACATGTAGTGATTTAAAGACCTTGGAAGCACACACATGGCTTACAATGACATTCCAAGCTGAGTATATTCAATTATCATTCCCACATTGGAATGGTCTTGGGACCACCTTGGAAGCCCCCCAGTGTCACTGTAGAGACCAATATCCCCGTGGGCTTGCAGGGATCTAAATTCCCAATGTCCTAATCACTTCCTAATATAGCACAACTCATATCTCACCCAGTGCACTTGAGCGCTTCGTCTGCCGCTCATGCGCATGAGCGCTTTGGTTGCACATCAGCATGTGCATTCTTGGTTCCGTCACCCATCCTCTGTCCATCCATTCCATGTCCGTTCGGTTCGTCGGTGCGTATTTCCATCATATTTCCATTTATTCTGACATATCTCCAGCACTTATGGCCATATCTCATATGTTTTGTCATGGACCCTTATATTACATATTATCTCATATCCGCTTTGTTTCTCAGTTCACTTTAGCACCTGACAGCGCTTAACATTACTTAGTATATATACTTGCACCTGAACTGTATAATGATTATCTTTCTGCCCGTACATCATTGGACTCTAAGTCTAAGTTCTCCCTCGTATCTATCAACCAACATTAAGTATCTAAGTACAATACAAGCGCCCACTGCCGTACATTACTAGAAACTCTGTCAAATTGTTTTCCGACTCATTAAGAGTCACTCTGCTCCACCACCTGCACACACATGTTGCCTCCGCTCAGTGCACATTACCGTTATATTTGCTCATTGTCGCTCGTCATCGCTCATTAGCGCTTCCTGTCACTTTTGCTTGCTTGCACTTCACTCATCATCGCGCACCTTATCAGGCTTGACCAAGCGCCCGGTCCAGTGTTTCCCTCCACATATAAACTTAGAGGAACCTTCTCAGTAGCAATCCCCTTGGGTCGACATATAACTCGCTCATCAAGGACTACTTGAGTTCATCTCACACCACCCATTTATCTACACTACCAATTCCTCTTCTACATCGCTTCCAAGCAGCTTCCAAAAATTTTGGGTTGTCTTCCAAGCAAGTTGAAATGCTGCCAGCAAATTGGGGCCTTCCAATCCATTTTAAGCCATGCCAACCCAAAATAGAAATTTCCAACAAATGGTGCTTGGGTGAGCTCACTGATGAACATGAATTTCTTGCTATTTTCCCTATTACACCTGTCAGCCCAATTTTGCCCATCTGATTACATAACTCCTAGAACTACTACATATTTGACCGGAGAATAGAAGTTAAAATACCGCTGTGCAGTGTATGTAGTGAATTTTTTTTGGCCTGGTGTTATGCAGATGGCTGTCGTAATCTCTTTTTTTCCCCAGTGAGGGTGGCTGGGTTGGAGTCTGATTGTTGCAATACTTTACATTATATTGCTTTAAATAATACTGGTATTCAAAGTAAAAACATTAAGGCTCTGAAACGATTCTGAGACGCTCTGAAATGCTCTGAAATGTTCTGAATGATGTTCTGAAAATCGCTCGAAAAGCTTATTTTAAACTCCACTCAAAACACTTAGCACTTCAAATCTCACAAGTCCCCATGCAGGGTTAGGGTTAGATGCATGCACATACAAAAAAAAGCATGTATTTCATAGCTAGTAAACAATGGTAGAGAATGAAGTACTGGTAGAGGGATGCATGTACCCTGACCCGACAGCGACACCGATAGCAACAGTCTCCTCATCCTTAGAGGGTATCATGATAATTGTGCCCTGGTTGAACCTTCCTCTCATCCATCCGCTTGATCTCCTCTGCAGACAAGCGGCCCTTGTCATTGGTGATTGTGATGTGATTTGACTTGCTGGTAGTTCTGTCAGATGCAGAGACGTTCAGGATACCTGATGCGATTTGACTTACTGGTAGTTTTGTCAGATGCGAAGACGTTCAGGATACCATTGGCATCAATGTCAAAGGTGATCTCAATCTGAGGAACACCATGAGGTGCTGGGGGAATGCCAGATAGCTCGAACTTGCTGAGCAAGTTGTTGTCCTTCATGCGCACACGCTCACCCTCGTACACCTGGATCAAGACACCAGGTTGGTTGTCCAAGAATGTCGAGAATGTCTCAGACTTCTTGGTGGGGATGGTGGTGTGGCGCTTGGTGGGGATGGTGGTGTGGCGCGCTTGGTGGAGATGGTGGTGTGGCGCTTGGCGGGGATGGTGGTGTGGTGCTTGGCGGGGATGGTGGTGTGGCGCTTGGTGGGGATGGTGGTGTGGCGCTTGGTGGGGATGGTGGTGTTGTGGCGCTTGGTGGGGACGGTGGTGTGGCGCTTGGTGGGGACGGTGGTATTGTGCTTGGTGGAGATGGTGGTGAGGCACTTGGTGGGGACGGTGGTGTTGCGCTTGGTGGAGATGGTGATGTGGTGCTTGGTGGAGATGGTAGTGTTGTGCTTGGTGGGGACAGTGGTGTTGTGCTTGGTGGGGACGACAGCAGCACTTACCACAAAAATTTAAACTCCGCTTGAATCTTGCTTAGATCGATTTGAGTCATCGATCGGAGATGATGATAAGATACCAGCCCCAATGCCTCACCAGTCACAATGTCAAGCACTCCTCCAACAGATAGATTTGGCTAGCCTAGATGTCGCTATGGCATGGGTTGAACATACCACACAAGATGATGGTAGTTCAGACTCAGCTATGTCTGATATTAGGACCCCATCCCCCAACTCCCCCATGTCCCCCATGTCCCCCATGTCCCCCATGTCCATGTCCAACACTTCAGAACATTCTGGCAACTCAAGTGTCAACTCAATTGCAATCCATGAGCAATTTGCTCAACTTCTTAGCTCACTTACTGCCCTTCAGGATGAAGTAGAGATGACCCATGTCCTTCACTGACCCGATGAGCCCCCTATGCGAGCTCCACAGATCCAGCTACTTGATCACTTCTCTATTCATCGCCCCTACCTATTCCAAAAGAAGTTATGTGTTGCTCCAGAAATATTCGATGATATCCTTGATGAGATCAGTGACCATCCTATCTTCCATAATCAATCCAACAATCCCCAATTTCCTGTTGCCATCCAACTTGTAATATTTCTTAACCGTGGGTCTGTGTTGGCCACTATGGCAATGCAATCTCAAATAAGGATGTCTGCCAGTGGGCAGGTGTTAGCATCGGGTCAGTTACGAACTGCACTAATCATGTCATGATGGCCCTGCTTGCCAAGCATGACAAATTCATATTCTTCCCCACTCTTGACTCTGATGAAGCTGGTCATTCCCAGAAGTATGTTCAGGACAATACTTGCCCAGAGTGGCGGAATGGTATCCTAGCTGCTGATGGATCATTGATAACTCTTTGTGACAAGCCAGGTCTCTATGGTGAGACTTTTTATAGTAGGAAGTCTCAGTACTCCCTCAACTGCCAGATATTTTATTTTACAGCCCTTTCTCTAATTTAAATTCCTTTAGGCAGTTGTTATGATCCATAATCTTGCTATAGCATATTATGCTATTGGTCACACCGGCAGTGCACATGATGCATATGCATTCCAATCTACTCATATTTACCATCATGCAACATTTCTTGGAGATAACCATTGGATCTGGGCAGATAGTGCCTACCCATTAGAGCCATGATGCATCCCCCCTTTCAAGAAGCCTGTCAATGGGGCCTTAACCAGTGACCAGAAGGCATTTAACACTGCCCTTTCCAGAGTATGTGTGTTATTTTATTTTTCCTTGTGTCCATTTATTTTTGGTGATTTAGGTTTGTGTCCGGGTAGAGCATGCATATATTTCTTACTGGGTCCAGTGCTGCCTTATCCTTCACAACATGGTGATTCAGTTTGAAGAGCACCGTGGGATCAAGAGTACAACTGAAGAATCAGCCCTCCAGGCCTATATGCCTGCAGTGGACACAGATCATGATGTAGATGAGTTGGGTCCTGGAGATACATCATATCAAGGTACTTCTGGACACCAAGTTCATTCAAAGTTGATGGAATATTTGTTGAACTAACAAGACAAATGTATTGGCAACATATCTAAAACATAGGAGCAAGCATGTAACAACATATATGGGCCCAGAAAGTATGTAAATATATGTATGATGAGACAGAGAACATATAACATGAATGGTATGCAAAACATGAGGTGCAAGAGTATAACAAACCACTGGTACAACAGAAGCGGATGATGACGACGACAATGATAAAGCCTACACTAATCAGCCACACCTCCCTTCAATTTGAGAAGCTCGATTTCGAGCTGAAGGGCGGCTTTGCACTCAGCATGAACCTTGGCTTGAGCTTCAAGAACTTGAAGGTCAAGAGTCTTGGACTCTTGACAGCACTGATGTACTACAATGGCCTCGCTGCATTTGAGCTGCACTTTCTCACGTTGGAAGTCGAGGTCACGTTCCTGATGGAGAGCGTTGACCTTGGCGATCTTGTACTCAGAGGCGGCCGCCTTTGCAGTGTAGATATAGGACATGTTGCTGGTTAGTGTCTCAACTTTCCCGCAAACGCTCCCAATGTCCGACGCAATATTCTTCCCAAGGTGCAATTTTTTCACACTGCTATCGTTGAGCATGGTCTGTAGGTGTGAGGAGGAAGATGGCGACAAAAGTCCCGAGGATGTAGAGTGTGTCGTCATCTTCATGGACAACAATGCAACAGATGATGGTGGGTTCGGTGAGCGCATGGGTCCATGGCCCATCACACAATCGGCATGGGTTTTGAATGTTCCGAGGGATGAGCGGTTGTGGGTGTGTGTGTGCATGTGCATGTGGAGTGGGGAGGGGGAGGAGAGCGGGCATTTGTTGGAAAGGGACTGCTGGATTGTGAGTGCTTCTTCATGCTCTACCTCCCCCTGATCCTTCTGCATGGTGATGTCTTGCTCATCATAGTCAAGCTCCTCGCCCATGGTGAAGTCATTGAAGTTGGGAGGAGGGTTGGCGGGAGGGTTGGCGGGAGGGTTGGCAGGAGGAGAGTTGGCAGGAGGAGGGTTGGCGAGAGGAGGGTTGGCGGGAGGATGGTGGGCGGGAGGAGCATTGGCGGGAGGATCATTTACGGGAGGAGGGTTGGCGGGAGGATGGTCTTCAAGAGGGTTGGCAGGAGGATGGCCTTCGGCACTGTCAACGTGCTCGTCTTCAACAGGAGCATTGTCACCGATGATCATCGGATCATCAGGATTGGGGGGGGAGGCTTTTCCTTTTCCTTTGCTCCTTGGTTGCATCAGGGCTTTGAAGTCCCCTGCGCGATCTGTACCAGGAGCAGAAGAGAAGGTTTTGGCAGCATACACAGGGTTATCTCTCCAGATCTCATCGAGATCTTCGTACCGCGGGAAGTCGCTTAAAACTTGCGCTACAACAAATTTAGTTTTACTTGATCATTATTTAAAAAAATGTACCTAGTAAATTCACTGCGGTGCCAGGTTCCTCCGGATTGACTCCAGCACCCGTCTGCTTGAAGCGTGCATGATGGGTCTTATATTTGCCCTTGAGACTAAGTGTAGTGTTTAGTATATACATGGAAAGGGGGAGGAAACATATGAAAAACTTACTAAGTGAGGCGGTTGCCCACAGCCTGGGTGAACTTCATCTGATCCTCAGCATACATCAACTGGTACATCTCGTGGTTCTCGAATATATGTTTGGCGATGATGGTGTAGAGACTCATGCCTCTCATGGCCTGATATGGCAGTTTTCACTAGGGAGTACATAGCACGAACTTGTAGTGTCACTCTGTGCACTACCCGCAGCTATCTCTATATGAGGCGCAGCTTTCCCGCGCAACGCGCGCACACTTCCCGTGCTTCATGATGTATATGCGCGTGCGCTTTCCCACGCTTGATCGCCCTATAGTGCCAGCCATCCGGGAGCATCCATCCACTGTCCACCAAGCTCTCTAGTGCGTGTATTTCCGTTTCCCTTATTTGCATATCATTCCACCTTTATTTTTATCATGGACCCTTACTTATATATATCTTTACATACTAGACCTTACTTGGTAGCGCTTCGGCTCCGCATGACAGCGCTTAGGTACCGTATTTAAGCGCCAGCAGTACCTTACCACTCCTCACCTTACCTTACTGCACCTTTCACCTTACTGGTTACTACCCACTTACTACTTAGCAGAACATAGTAGAAATCTATTCCTTTACATCTTGCATCTCTCGTCTCTTGATTTGCATCATATCATCACTTAAGCTTAGTCTCACTCATTTCCGCATACCTGTGCGCACTTTCCCACGCTTCGCGCAGCATGCGCGCGCATTCCCACGCTTCGTGCCTTGCGCGCACCTGCACTTTCTTGTGCTTCGCTTTAGCGCACACTTCTAGATCCTTGCTGCACTCGCTTCCCCTTTAGGGTTGAACGCACTTGTCTTCTCAAGTATAGCAGACTAGGCAACGCACGACCTACAACATTAACAGATACAGTCAGGAGCCTCGTTCGCGCCTCGCTGTATTGTTGTTTCTACAACAGCGTGTATTTTGCCCTTGTCACTCCCAGAAGGAGGGCTGTCATCAGAAGAGTGGGATTTCTTGCCCAGGCTATACTGTTAAAATTAAGCATAATACTCACTGACTAGAAATGGTATGGTTTTGTAAGTTTGTTTGTAAACTATCAATCCCCTACAATTAAGCTTAATGGCTTCTGATTCCTTTGGTGATTCTCAGGCTTCCAAGAATAGCGCTACCACCAGAAAAATTACCAAATTGGGATATTCCAATAATCTCACTATTCCCACATACCTCCCTGGCTCTACTGCTGCACCAGAGCTTTCCCCTTGCTCACTCATGTATATAAGTAGTAGAATGGCATGTACATACATAAAATGATACAATAGACCGCTTTTTCATTGTCTGAGAGCTTGTACAGCAGTCTACAGTGCTGACTACAATATGTGCATCCCAGGACTAAAACATATTCGCTTTTTTGCCCCTTTAGCAGGGAAGCAATTCTGGCTGTATATATCATATATTAGAGTGTTAATGAATATATTACACTGCTTGTTTGAGCCTCTGTAGTGTCCTACATCAGTAGATATGTTAAATTCATGAATACCTCTCAAAAAACATAAACCAGTTCGCATTTTTTAGTGTTTAGGTATATAGACTGGTGAATATTATTTGTAACATCTCTTTACTAGTATATACATCATATCAAGAGTATAGGTCATTAGGATCAGTCCCTAGGGTGATATGTATTGTCATCTTCCTGGTGGTTCACTCCCTAAGAAAAATTTTCCTGCAGCTCCAGCCCTCTAGGATGGTAGGTAGTCTTTTACTATGAACATATGGAATATATTTATCACATAGGTATACCAGAACAATACCAGGATCCTTGTCTACAATCCAAAGTCACTTCCTGCCTACAATGTACCATATTTTCGCATTTTTGAGGTTTTTCACTACAATCTCACTACATAGACTATACCAGCTGTTCATATATCACTTATAGTACATATATGAAGCCCTCCCAAGGCCATGATCATGCAGAAATATGACATAGTAATGATATCAATGATATAGGGGCAAACTCCACAATCATGCAAATGTTATATTTCAACCCTGTCTAGGGCGAATATTTCATTAAAAATGTATAGAATACATTGTAAACTACTGATATATACTATACTAATATATGTTGTGAAGGTAAAGGTGATGTGGAAGTGTTGTGGTCTCAATTTGTTGCATTATTATGGTCAGACCACCATAGACTGTTGGTGCATAGTACTTTTTCGATGTTTGGACTTTTTGACTTTCCCACGACCTATTTCTTATCTATTGGATTCCCCTGCTGTCAATTATTCATGGATCCTTCTGGTAGTCGAGGACTGTATTACTTGGTATATATAGTGTACTCTAAGATAGTCTGATTATAATATTTTACTATATTCATGTCTGGGAATTCTTATCAGCGAGAATAGGAGATATGTGCTTGATATCATTACTATGTCATATTTCTGCATGATCATGGCCTTGGGAGGGCTTCATATATGTACTATAAGTGATATATGAACAGCTGGTATAGTCTATGTAGTGAGATTGTAGTGAAAAACCTCAAAAATGCGAAAATATGGTACATTGTAGGCAGGAAGTGACTTTGGATTGTAGACAAGGATCCTGGTATTGTTCTGGTATACCTATGTGATAAATATATTCCATATGTTCATAGTAAAAGACTACCTACCATCCTAGAGGGCTGGAGCTGCAGGAAAATTTTTCTTAGGGAGTGAACCACCAGGAAGATGACAATACATATCACCCTAGGGACTGATCCTAATGACCTATACTCTTGATATGATGTATATACTAGTAAAGAGATGTTACAAATAATATTCACCAGTCTATATACCTAAACACTAAAAAATGCGAACTGGTTTATGTTTTTTGAGAGGTATTCATGAATTTAACATATCTACTGATGTAGGACACTACAGAGGCTCAAACAAGCAGTGTAATATATTCATTAACACTCTAATATATGATATATACAGCCAGAATTGCTTCCCTGCTAAAGGGGCAAAAAAGCGAATATGTTTTAGTCCTGGGATGCACATATTGTAGTCAGCACTGTAGACTGCTGTACAAGCTCTCAGACAATGAAAAAGCGGTCTATTGTATCATTTTATGTATGTACATGCCATTCTACTACTTATATACATGAGTGAGCAAGGGGAAAGCTCTGGTGCAGCAGTAGAGCCAGGGAGGTATGTGGGAATAGTGAGATTATTGGAATATCCCAATTTGGTAATTTTTCTGGTGGTAGCGCTATTCTTGGAAGCCTGAGAATCACCAAAGGAATCAGAAGCCATTAAGCTTAATTGTAGGGGATTGATAGTTTACAAACAAACTTACAAAATGTACTGTGTATAATTAGACATGGTTAAGTATCACCCTGCCATGAACAGGTGTCTTGCCTTCATAAAATAATATGTGATAGTCGGCAGGATGGGTGCTGAGGTACGTCACGAGCACAGATGTTCAATTGTAGTTTGGTGTCTCCCACCGGATCTTGCTGACACCACCGGTAGGAGTATCACCGGCAGCGCTGGCTGAGGTAGCAGCCGCCCCACATCCCCTTGTACCATGAGTAGTTGCGCCCCTTCCCCTAGCACCGTGGGCAGGTTGCATTTGGATGGATATTGGTGCACTAAGTCCTTGAAGAAGTGTCTTGAGTCGCTCTGAACGTCGTACTTGAGGGCGTACAGGAGACATGGTGTACGCATAGTGCTGCCATGGTCCGGTTCGGTCCAGTTCAGAGGGCCTTAGATGAGAACCAAGAACCAGACCATCGGTTTGGTTCTGCAAAATGTCTGAACCCAGAACCGGACCATAGAGAATCATTCTCTATGGTCCGGTTTGGTTTTTTTTGGGGTTCGAACCCAAACTGAACCAAAAAACAAAAAACTGTAAGAGCATGCAAAAAAACATTGACATAGTACTAAGTAGTCTACATGTTGAGTAACTAATCTAATAACATGGCTGCTCCCCCGATTACCATGCACGAGAGGTATCAGGAGAGCAATTGCGATAATGAGGGGTTGACACAACCAGAAATAGGAAAGCGGCAGTGAAGGATGGCGATCATGAGCATGGGTCGAAGATGGTGGCGAGCAGCAGCAGGAGATGGCAGTGAGCAGCAGCGGGAGATGGTGGTGAGCGTGGGTACCATATACAAACAATAAATTTATTAGACACTGAAACAATAAAACACCATGACACACCTTTGCAGCTGAGAGAACTCCCCATCTAGAGTCGAGTCTACATGCGCTGCATGTGCTCTCCTTTTCTCTCTCCTCTCCTCTTTCCCCAGAGCGCCCCGTTCCACCCACATCAAGTTTGTGTTTACACTGGATGTATCCTAATCTTGGGTTAATAGTCTCGTTTTGATGTACTATTCTGGCTGCATGGCCTCGAACTGTCATGAAATGAAATCGTTGTTAATAACAGAGTTCAATATAATCACTTGATACATCGTGTCATAACCTCAAGACTTACTCAGATGTTCATTGAAACATCCCCATTGCCTCCCAATAATCCACCCACTGCGCCGCATCTGCTGAAGACAGCGACTTCAGTTCCTTCATCGTTGGACTGATGCATTCGGCTATGGCAGTGGCAAATAAAGTCATGCCACCCGCTTCGGAGCCCATCTCTCTGGATGCCCTGATCGCGATGTCTGATTGAGCCATGGAACGCATGAAGTTGAGAAGCTTGATGGCAGGCTGTAATCGAAGAATATATTGGAAATGTTCTGGCCAGCCATCGAAATACACGTACAATGCAGTCCATGGTTTCTTGGTGCAAGTCCTTGGCGCTCAATTCAAGCTTTTCGAGCCACTCTGAGAATGGCACAAGAGGTAGCGGGTAACTTGTTGCTTTATGCTCAACCAGGGCATCCGCAATGGGCTGCATCAACGTCTTCCATACAGTCGGTCTCGGATGCACCAGATTCACCGCGATGGGAGGTTCTTCTTCCGCGAAAGCTACATCAAGAATAGCATTTGATACGGCATGGGGAGGGATCCAAGACACAAACTAAAATACGTGTATCACAAATAGATACCTTCAATAGTGATGGACTTACTCCTTTAGCTTCCGGAAGTGCACCTAGACTAATGCTTGATTTGACAATGATTAATATTGGTAACCAGTTTGTTGTAGACCAAGCTCCTCACGGGGGTGAAAAGAGACTGAAGGTGCTTGTTTGGAAGCATGCGCTGAGTATGATGCGCGCCTTGACAGATTCTGCCAATAGTTGGTTGAAAATTGAGTCAGCAGCACATTGTGACAGCAAGTCATGTGAGAGTTTGATTGATTAGTACTTACCTTTAAAAGGCTAAAGGTAGCCTGGTTAACCAATAGTGTAAATCCCGAAGACAACAGTTTGATGTGGAGACCGAAGTTGTCACAGTCGAAGTTGAAGTCGATAACAGTTCAGAATTGTTCGGCAAGGCCGAACCAGAACGGGACCATTTGGGAAGACCTAGAACCGAGAACCGTTTTCCGGTCCGGTTCTGGCTGATGTGAGAACCATGGACCGAACCGCGGAGAACCGGACCAAAAGTCCGGTTCGAACCATGGTTCTGGACCGAACCGCGGCAGCACTATGTACACATGGACCAAAGTTCGATTTCAGACTCCGACGGTAGTCTGCCGACGCTCGGTAGAGTTCTGAAAGAATCTGTTACCGTTTCAGAACCTTAATAATAATAATTAAATATTCTCATTTGTTCACCAATTCACTGATGAAACTATTGGTGGTCCCAACAGTATGCATTATGAGCATGTCTACTGTTCTAGCACAATCTGCGACAAACGAAATCACACATTTGCACATGTGCACGTGGGTTTCCACCTGTGCCCATTGCCCATTGACATGAGGCAAAGGGCAATTGCTTGAAGTTGTGTCATGCACAGTCAAGATAGTGCCTCATTAATGTTGCGTCATACCATCTGATAGGAACTGCGGGCAGCTGCGCAGTGCTGCGTGTAACTTGAAGGGTTATAAGCAGAAACGAAAGAGCGAAGATTGTTTGAAATAACTTACAAGTTGAAGATGGTGATGGTAACGACTCGGAGCAGTCAATCGTCCGCAACCAAGCGGCAACCCCCAGCACCGCGTTTCACAACTTATTCTGTCCAATTACCGCCACTATCCTCCTCTTCATCATCTCCAATGGAGGCCTTTCGACTTCAAAAGAAATACCCAGAAGTTTCCAAAGATGAAATGTTCGATCTCGTAAATCGCTTCAAGTACGGGAGATCTCCTTTCGAAATTACTTGAGTAATAAATCTCGTCCGCAGTGCGATTAGTACCAACACGCCAGGTCGTATAGACAAGAGCGCTGTTCTTCAAGCACTTCAGAATACCGGAGAATCGTATGACAAGGCTCGAGAGACGCTTAAACATGTCTCTGTTGATGCCAGTGGTAAAGTCGAGCTCGAGGACTGGGTGGAGGTCCGTACACCATCCATGATGTCATCTCACACATCACTCATCAGCGATCGTTTGCCAGCTCAATGTCAAGCTGCGCACACAAACCAAGGCTTCGGTCCTTCCAACACGAGCAGGAAAGGTTACCGTCCAAGGCTCAAACGCTAATGTCAGTCATACGATCAATGAAGATGAGCGGACGGAATTCACAAATCACATCAACACAGTAAGTTCCTCTCATCGCTGTGATCTTTTATCTTGTTCACTGGTCGCAGGTGATCGAGAACGACCCCGACATTGGAAACCTTTTCCCAATCCCTACCTCAACCATGCAGCTCTTCGACGAATGCAAAGATGGCCTCATCCTCTGTAAACTAATCAATGATTCCGTCCCCGACACCATCGATACGCGTGTGCTAAACAAGCCAACCCCCCGGAAGCCGTTAAATGCTTTCCAGATGACAGAGAACAACAACATCGTGATCGCGTCTGCGAAGGGTATCGGATGCTCCGTCGTCAATATTGGCTCTTCTGATATCGCAGAGGGGAGAGAGCATTTGATCCTTGGGCTTATCTGGCAAATCATCCGACGTGGTCTGCTTGCACAGGTCGATATCAAGATTCACCCTGAATTGTATCGGCTTTGCGAGGATGGCGAAACTATTGACGATCTTCTACGGTTGACGCCAGATCAAATTCTACTCCGCTGGTTCAACTACCACTTGAAAGCTGCAGGGTGGAAACGGAGGTACGCTCATTATCTATACTTATTGGTCCCTTCTCATGCGTGATCTACTAGAGTAAACAACTTCAGCCGCGACGTCTCAGACGGCGAAAACTACACCGTCCTCTTAAACCAGCTCAAACCAGACCAATGTTCCCTGGCACCTCTTCAAACTAAAGACGTGAGACAACGCGCAGAACAAGTCCTTCAAAACGCTGAAGTCATCGGCTGTCGCAAGTACCTAACACCTTCATCCCTCGTCTCTGGTAACCCCCGTCTCAACCTTGCCTTCGTCGCAAACCTCTTTAATACCTGGCCTGGTCTCGAACCCCTCGATGAACAAGAAGCCAAGGATTACGGCGCTGTCGAGGACTTTGACGCAGAGGGTGAACGTGAAGCACGCGCGTTCACGCTATGGCTCAACTCGCTCGGCGTCGAGCCAGCAGTGTTCAACTTATTTGAGAACTTGCGCGATGGACTTATCATCCTCCAAGCATTCGACAAAATGTCGCCCGGCTCTGTAGTATGGCGCCGTGTTTCGAAGCCCAAAGGTGGTGTACAAGCTGCACCTCCAACGATGCTCGATGAGGAAGAGCAGGAAGATATTGGCGTCACTCCCAACCAAAGCACACTCTCCCGTTTTAAGCAAGTGGAGAACACAAACTACGCAGTGGAGCTTGGGAAGCAGAATGGGATGCACCTCGTTGGTATCCAGGGGGCTGATATAGTCGATGGTTCAAAGACGCTCGTTCTTGGTCTTGTCTGGCAGTTAATGAGGTACATCGTCTCTTTCACGCTACCTACACATCTCAATTCGATTGCAGGTTAAACATCACAAAGACCCTGATGGCGCTCTCCAAGACCGGCAGACCCATCAGCGACACAGACATGCTCAAATGGGCAAACGCAACTGCACAAAAAGGCAAAACCGGCGTTCGACCCATCCGGTCATTCAAAGATCCAGCCATCACCACTGGGCTATTCTTCCTCGATCTTCTGGATGCGATGAGACCAGGGATCGTGGATCCAGCTCTCGTGATTAATGTCAGCGAGAGTGGAGCTTATGAAGATCGGCGGCAGAATTGTAGGTTTTTTGTAAATGTTGGGGTTTCTCGGGTGCTGAGTTTTGGTTCTCTTCCTTTCAAGCGAAATTGGCTATTTCTATTGCGAGAAAGATGAACGCGCTGATTTTCTTGGTGCCTGAGGACATAGTGGACGTTCGTCCACGGCTTGTGCGTCTCCTTTTATTCCATGGCTAGTCTTCATCGTCGTGCTGATTGTCGCTGCAGATTTTGACGTTTGTTGCAAGTTTGATGAGCATATCGCAGTGATCTGAGCTTTCTTTTATTTATCACTATTCTCGCCGTTGTTTTTTGCAAATAAGGTCCGTCAAACTCGCTACGTGGCGGACAGTCCAACAAATATACATTACCTTTGATACTACTATTCTGCCTGAAACGTTTGTGATGTGGTTTGATGACTGTACAAAACCTTGTAATCCAATTATGAATGCATTACAAAGGCTAGTAACTAGATTTCAGCTGTCTGTGTAGGAGATGAAAGTTGGTCGGTAGAAGGTTCTGGTTGTAGCACTAAATTTCCTAGTCTAGGGGGCGTCGAACGCGTGATGAATTCCATTATCGTCGGGAGCTTATCTGCTGCTTGGCGTAAAGCTGTGAGGGAATGAGTGTGAATAAAAATAGAGATGAGTAAGAATTCCTGCCTTCGCGTGCCAACTCTTCTCTAATTGGAGTCCCTCCGATCTCAAATATGACGCGACCGGTGGGAACGCTGCGCAAATGAGCCTCATGATGTACAAGCACAAAGAAGAACACACCGGGTAGCCCAAAACTCGAACGTCCCTTTTCCTTTACCCATACGAGTTTCGTTTCCCTTGAAAACATGTCAAAAGTTCATGTAGAGAACAAACACAGGTATAGCAGACCTTGATGCAAACTGGAATATCAGGAAAAACTCTAAGATAGACTTTTGCGCCTTTGACGACCTTTATTTTGCGCTTTATGACTTCCTCAGCCGTAGTAAGCTGTTTCGCGCTGAAGCGGACGCCCATGCCCTTGATGCGGATACCCCATTCACCGTAAGCAAGTGTAGTGCCTTTGGTTGACCCGCCTATGGGTATCGGAACGCGACCTTTGTGTCGTTTGACATGTTGGACTTGACGAGGTGCGAGCTGTGAGCGGAAACGGACGCTGGCTGGCAAATGTGGTACGAGGGTCGTCCGGAGCAATGAAAACATCGTCTTAAGCGTTGAACGCAGTAAATGCGAGATATTTGCAGTACAATTGATCAAGACCCCCCTTTAGAGGGGTTAGGCGCTAAAGTGGACGATAACCAAAAAGTATGATCCGCATATAAGTGTCGAACAGAGGTATATGATGATATCCCGAATTACAAATGACTGAGCCACCGCAAACGCGCCAATCCGATGAAATACTATTCTCACTTCCTCATCAACTTCTCCCTCAGTTCTGCCCCCCGCAGTTGTGCCCGCAGATACTCCAGCCGCACTTGACATCGTGCAGTCACCTCTGCACGCCGGCGTCTAATGTCATTCAACTCGCTCTCGAGCGCCGAGATGGACGCATCATCGTCAGGTACTTCACGCACCGGCGAGTTGTGCACAGTTGATGGGAGGTGAATAGAAGAGTCTCGTGCAAGGTTAACAGAGGATACACTGCCTAGCTCCCGCAGCTTGCTGGGGGTGAGTCCTGGCGAGGGGTGCGAAACGTACATCGAACCGTTCGTGGGGACGCGGGCGCGGGACGATATGGACGATATACTACGCTTCCTTGCCGACACAGATAATGTTGATGGCGGAGCACGTAACGAGGGATTCCGGTATGACTGCGGCTGTGAGCGTGGTTGGCTAACACTGGAGGCTGCTGACGCAGAGTACATGGATTGAGTATCAGCCTCGCAGGGTGTGCCTCTCCCGGTGCTTAGGTATCCACTGCCTTCACATTCACTTCCCCCGCCTCTACCGCCACCATTTTCACTTCCCCCACCTCTACTACCATAATCACTTCCTCCCGTTCCAACGCGGACTCGGCGCACAGAAGGTGTTTGCGGAGGATGACGTCGGGTCAGTGAGGTAAGCTCAAGCCCATTAAACGCATCAAGTAAGCGTCTGCCCTCAGCTTCAAGTGTCGCAATGTGGAGCTTCAGCTCCGATGAGGATAGATGATCGGGATCGGCGGTATTCGTAGGTGCTGAGAGAGATGGAGTTCGCAAGTGCAATGGAGAATGCGAGGACGTGCGTGGAACTGTTGATATTGGGGGTACAGGTGTGGAGGGCGAGCCAGTTGTGCTATTGAGACGGAAGGAGGATGGAGGAGGGGTAACTGGTCCTGTTTGAAGGCGGCGGAGGGACCGATACGGGCTGCTTCTTTCTCCGTTTCCAACATTGATACTGCTGGTACTCATACTCGCACTCATATACTGCACATCACCCATATGCGTCAGGTTCTCCGATGTCAGAGAAACATCACTTTGCATTTGTGGAGGAAATGGCCGTCGAGATGTACCGCTGGAGAAGATGGACGTGTCGTCTGTTGTTGCAGTGAGAGCTGTGTGGCCTGAGATTCGAGAAGAGCGCTTAAAGAGAGTGCTCATAGCAGAAGAAATAGAGGATTTGGAGCGGACAGACGGTGAACGACTTTTGGCGGAAGCCAGGTTGTAGGCTGTAAATTTTAGAGAACAAAGTTGGAAATCAGTCTCTTCAAAATACATGTAGCGCAAGGCTCACCGTTCGGTGGGTGCGAGACAATGGGGACAAGGGGGGCTTCCTGCGGGACTGAGCTACCTGAAGCAAGTCGTTCGAAGATGTTCTGCCGCAGAAGACGGTATTCATCGTCACTGTGAGCGGAATCAGCATGGTGAGAGGTTCGACGTGGACATAGAAGATCAAATTTGGCTAAGAAACACTGCGTCCACCCATATGGGTGCAATGATCGCTACCACAACACACAAGTCACGTCCTCGGTCTCAAGAGCCAAAACAAACTCACTCGAGCAAGCCCTGAGAATTTGCGGCAGCAAGTTCATCGAGACGTTGTGCAAGGGTGGTCCTGTAAGCAGGAGAAGAGGAGAACATGAGCGAGCGGTGTAATTGACCGTCGATGCAAGACGTACGTGATCACGTCTGTATGTGTACGTGGAGTATCTTGCGATGATGGTAAGAACTGCTCGGTGCCGAGAGGGGAGCGCCCGGCGCTGAGATGGTGGAGATTGTGGTCACTGCGCCCAATCATGGAAGGATGGTGCATCTCGCGCGCCTTGCCTTTGTACTTTCCATACTGCAGTGTTCACGACCCCCATCATGGTCAGTGCATTATCGCATCAAGAGAACGGATAGAAACACGTACGAATCTGGAACGGATGACCTGGACCATTGACATGGACACGGAACTGTCGTTATGGATGTACGACTGGGACTCGTCCACTATCCTGCGCGACGAGAAGAAGCCCATGGTGATATGCGAATAACCGTAATGAACGTTAGACGAAACGAATTGATATGTTTTTGTTATGTTTTCTTGTCAGTACCAGCACATTGCGGATGCAGAAGCGGTGCCAGGTGCGATGCCTACGTCGTTGTCGACATTGGACTTGGACTTCTGCCACCTTGTTTACAACTATTACGCGCTCAGCACTAGCATTAGACTTTGATACTTTGTCTGTTGGACCCTTATATTTTTGACAAGTATTGTCCTAACCGTTGCTAATCGTTCTGTTTCTCTTTTCAGGTTGACACACTCAGCTGCTTGAGATGATATCGTCAAAATATAGAGCGCTCAGTGCTGCTACCCGTCTTGATAGTCGTCTTATCAGACGTTCCCTCATTTCTACTCAATCTACTGAACAGGGCATTCCACCCCCACTCACGGGTATCAGAGTCCTCGACCTCACTCGAGTGCTAGCAGGTCCATCATGCACCATGCTTCTCGCAGACATGGGTACAGATGTCATCAAAGTTGAGGAGGTTACCCGCGGCGACGACACTCGTGAGTGGCCTGTGCTAGCCTATCCGTTATTTATCTGGAAAAAAACAGGCTCCTGGCTACCTCCTTCTGCTGCTGTCTCCCCGAATTCTCCGAAAGAATCGTTACACCTTCCTCCTGAATCTGCATATTTCCTTGCTGTGAATAGAAACAAACGTTCTATCACTGTGAATTTCAAGGATCCTGCGGGACTTGAGGTTATGCAGAGGCTAGTTCGCACTTCCGACGTGCTGGTAGAAAATTTTATCGCAGGAAAGCTTGCAGGGATGGGTCTCGGTTGGGAGGACTGCAAGGTGCTCAACCCGCGGCTTGTGTATGCTTCCATCACCGGTTTGTCTGAGCTTACTTTGCCTGATATCAGTATTCAGTTCTGATGCAATCAGGGTACGGACAGACAGGCCCATTCCGCGAAGCCGCGGGTTACGATGTCATTATTGAAGCCGAAGCTGGGCTGATGCACATGTATGTATGCTGTGCTGCAGACGCTTACAAATGATAACTTGAATTTTATGTCTTGCTTTTCATGGATCGTAGCACAGGCGAACCTGATCGTCCACCATCTAAAGTAGGCGTTGCGGTGACGGATTTGATGACAGGTCTTTACGCACATGGTGCCATCCTTGCTGGTTTGCATTCCGTACAGCATACGGGAAAAGGCGTTTGGATAGACTGCAACTTATTTGAGACACAGGTACAGTGGCTATCACATGTTTATATCCTTGTCTGGCTTTCTTATGCTTACCAATACGGTTTCTGTCGTATATACTTAGCTTGCGGGTCTTGCGAATATAGCGTCGAATTATCTTATCGCCGGAAAGGAAGCCTCTCGGCACGGAACTGCCCACCCATCCATCGTTCCTTACCAAGTTTTCCCATGCAAAGGCGGATTTCTCATGATTGGCGCGGGCAACGACAAGCAGGTGGGCAGCATCACTGATAAGCAGTTGTAGACGACCTGACTCTTGAGGCACATGTGACGCTAGTTCCGCCTGCTTGCCGAAAGGATTCTGGAGAAGCCCGAGCTGGCAGATGATGCGAGGTTTGCTAATAATGCTGCGCGGGTAGCAAACAGGGAGGCATTGGTGGACATCATTACACAAGTGCTCCAAAGACACGAAAGGGATTATTGGATCGGTCGCTTCACGGGATTAGGGTGCGTCGTGCATGATGTATACTTATGTATGATCCATTTGCCAAGATATTCACACGCGCATGTCCGTGCAGGGTACCATTTGGGCCAATCAATAATATCCAACAAACATTCGCGCACCCGCAAGTTGGCGCTCGGCAGGCTACGGTGGAGGTTGATGTACGTACCCCTCGTCCTCGTGTGATAGACTTCGTTTTGATTATGTCGTTTTGATTAATTGAACAGCACCCACGAGCAGGGAAAGTGAGGATGGTGGCTCCACCTGTTACTTACAATGGAAAGCGGATGCCGGTCAGACGACCACCACCCTGGCTATCACAGCATACAAAGGAGGTACGTGCACATGCCAGTGATATCTTTGGTTCACCACCCTCATTTTGTTTATTGAATTGTGCATTGTGTTTTTTGGTTTCTGATGGTGAATTGGTTTTAGGTCATGCTGGAACTAGGGTACTCTCAGAACGAGATCGCCGAATTGAGGGCTCGAAAGATTATCTGAGGCAATGATTTACTGATCTCATTGAGAGTTTGGGTCTTGGGCGCGGGTCCGCCGGCCAGGGGGTTATTGTGTAGAAAATGAGATGACGATCTGGCTCAGATAGCCAGTGGAATCGTGAATCTGTCAATGATGCTACATATTTGGTTGCGGCACTGCGGCGGCAACAGATAATCAGTAGACTACTTTAAGCATAGCCCCGAATCCTACAGCCTAACGTCCTAGTGCCGCTATCCCGATTGTTATTTCAGAACGCTGTCTTTGTCAGTGAACAAGGCCAGGATTCTCTTCATGTCTCCTGCTCTGCGTGCTCGTTCGCCGAATATCATTGACGACATTGTCAAGCGTCCACCACCGTCTCCTTCCGACAAAGCCCCACCACAAAAGAAGCTAGACGTCAAATCGCGACCTGCCTCGGAGGAGTCAACGCCGAAGGCAGCCTCACCTATCACTCCAGCCAAGGAGAAGAGCGACCTGAAAGAGGTTGAGAAGAAAGAGAACAAGGTATGTCTCCAGCTTAGAGTGGTTTATTTGCACGCATGCACTTGGAAGCAGAGCGTTCGCCGGGAACCCCGCACTTAGCCCCTGCCCATCTCGTCATCTCGTTCATCTTGTGACGATGATCACTGATTGCACCACCAGCCCAGTAAACAAGATATAATCGATATGGAAGTCTTCGACCAGATAGTCGAATTGGATGATGGGGACAGCTCATTTGTATCAGCGATGGTGACCGAGTATCTTGGGCAGGTCGATTCCACATTTAATAAGATGGATAAGGCCATGTAGGTCTTCTTGTTATTGGAATGACTACTCTAGAATCTGACTTTTCTAATGCAGGGAAACCAAAGACTTAATAGAAATATCGCAGCTAGGACACTTTCTGAAGGGCTCGTCAGCCGCGCTGGGCGTGAAGCAGGTTTCATTGACTTGCGAGAAGATACAGAACATAGCCAAGGGTACACCTACAGACAAGACCATTGAAGAAGTGACTTCGCTACTAAAACGTGTCAAGGAGGAATACGGTGCGGCGAAGATTTGGTTACTGGAGTATTGTCCGACGTGATAACATGACATTCTCTACTGAGCTTGCTCGTTACCATACCCAAGAGTTCAGGTTGTATGATTTTCACTGTACTCTACCTATCTAAGTAGTAACTGCCACACTTACGCTTGGCTACTTCCATCCTTTGTTTTCACTCCGCAATGTTCCACTATATGCACTAGTTCCAGATACAGTGTACTACATCTTTACATCATTTCGTAAACCACCCAAGCTCACTCCACATCACTACTTTGTGTGGTACACTTCAGTGAACTTTCAAGTACCAGTGAAAGGACGACGCGTGAGGTCACGCGTCGCGCTTCAGCACTACTCTTCGGCATGGACAACGATGACCTCGTCCTTCCCACTCCTGTCAATTTCCCAGCATTTCCTTACGACCCGCCTTATTCGATACAAATAGACTTGATGAGTCACGTCTATACGTCAATTGAGAAACGGCAGGTCACCATCGTGGAGAGTCCTACGGGCACCGTGAGTGTTTGTACCAGCTGACTAGCAAATTTCTGATCCGGCAAGAGAATTAGGGTAAGACGCTAAGTTTGCTGTGCTCGAGTCTGTCGTGGCTTGTGGACGAGAAAGACCGCGCGCGTAAAGGCCAGCTATCGCAACAGTCCCTCTCGAGTGCCGGTCAGTGGTAGTCTCTGTTGGTCTTGCAAGCAACATCTTAAAGCCACATCAGCACCATCATGGGTGGCAGCTCAGGCTCTCGATATTCGGAAGCGTGAGCTAGAGGCAGAGGATAAAGAATACGAGGAACGCCTTGCCAAAGCTCGGAAGACCGAGGCTCATTTCCGTATACTGGCTCGGGCCAGGGTTACCAAAAAGCAAGTGCGTGCGCTCGAATTCATGTCTCGGCTCAACCCATTTACTCTATACAAGTAGCGTGTCACAGTCGATCTTGTTCAAGGCCGTGTTGATGAGGATGCATACCTTCCGGACGATGACTGCGAAAATAACCAAGATAACTTCTCCCCCGCTGTTCGCGCTCTAATGGCAAAGTCAGGGTCGAGCTTTGCTGATATGAGACCCAACTAACGTGTACGAACAGAGTGGACAAGAATAACAAACGTGATCCAGCCTCTCAAGGAGACGAGCCGTCTTGCACGAAAATTTACTATGCGTCTCGCACACATTCACAACTTTCACAGGTCCTACCCGAATTGACCAAGCTTAGATTCAAACACCTCGCCTTGGGCGGTGCTGGTCCAGATGAGAGCACGATGAGAAACACGTCTCGAGTTGATCGTGATCCTTGCCAAAAGAAACGGACCTTTGGGGATGTAGATGGTGATAAGTGCGAAGTTGATCAGCGTCAGTGGCGGACCGTATCACTTGGGTCTCGAAAACAGCTGTGTATTAATGAGGATGCAAGGTCAAGACCAGGAGATATAGACGAGAAATGTCGAGAATTACTGGAAGGTACCAAACTTACTTATGACCCGCGTATTCATTGACCATCGAAAATATGCTCACAGGGAAGAAAAATACACGCTGTCAGTATTTACCTCCGGTGGGTGACGACAGCCGCATGCTTGATCTGCGAGATCAGATTCTGGTTAGTGAAGGTGATCCATTCGAGTGAACAGTGCTGATGAGTTCTTTTCAAGGCATCGCCGAAAGACATAGAAGACCTTGCCACTTCTGGGAAAAATGTACAGACTTGCCCTTATTACGGATCCAGACGAGCGATTCCACAGGCAGAGGTCAGCACATCATCTCACTGATGTGCCTTCCTGGGTCTCATACTGAATTTTCAGCTTATTACTCTACCTTATAACCTGTTGTTGCAGAAGACGGCCCGAGATACTCTGGGGATCGACTTGACTAACCAGGTGGTCATCATTGATGAAGCGCATAGTAAGCATTTCACCTAGACCGCCCTTTATACCGGCTGATTTTGCTTTAGACTTGATACCAACTCTATTATCCCTTTCAAGTGTCCGCCTCACATCCAGTATTCTATCGACCTCGTTGAAACAGGTCTCAGTGTATTACCAAAAATTTCGCAACCGGCTATCTGCAATGCATGCATTGCATCTGAAGAGGCTTCTCAATTTCCTGGATGCATTCCAGAGAGTCGCAATGGATTGGATGGCACAGAAATTGAGCGCCAAATCCAAAAGGCAAGATAGTGAAGTCATAACTGTGCCAGATTTCATCCACAGACTCGGGAGAAAGGTCGAGGGTATTAATCTCCTCGAGATTGAATCGTATCTTAAGCGCAGCAAAGTACGTTGCACTAAATTCATTAGATGTTTTTTTTCTGATTATTCGCAGATAGCACGGAAGATATCTCGTTACGCTGTTGATATTTCTGAAGGTTTGTCAGCCTGACAACGGCACAATCATATCTCTGAGTTTTTAGGGGAGAAACCTGAGAGACATTCATCGGGTGTGGCCACTCCGCCACTGCATACAATTGAAGCACTGATGTTGGGACTAGCGGGCGCAAGTGAAGGTGGGCCAAGCTGCACCGAAGTTGTTTCTTTGTTCAACATTGTTACAGACGGGAGACTAATCTTCTCTGCTGTCGGTGATGCTGTCGAGATTAAATACCAGCTGCTGAATCCATCGGCATTGTTCCGCGATGTCGTGGAGTTGGCGCGTTCAGTGGTGCTTGCTGGTGGGACCATGTCTCCGGTAAGCAGCCTCCATTAACAGTTTCTCGCAATACAGTAATGTCGGGGATAGATTTCTGCTGTAGTGTCCGAGCTTTTCACATACTTGCCTCCAAACAGGCTGACAACTTTCTCTTGTGGTCATATTATCCCGGCATCTAATGTGCAGACATTGTTGCTTACGAAAGGGCCTTCAGGCTTGGACCTGGAGTTCAAGTTCGCACAGCAGAGCAATCCGCAGGTCGTGTCCGAGTTGGGTCAAATCGTATTGAACTTCTGCAACGTTGTGCCTGGAGGAATAGTTATCTTCTTCCCTTCCTATGCATCATTGAATTTTGCAAGAGAAGCTTGGAGTCAGAGTGGATTACTGGACAAATTCAACGTGAAGAAAAAAGTAAGTGTCTCTAAGTAACAGAAGGCGGCTTATTGACTATGTTTTAGGTTTTCTTGGAGCCCCAGGAGAGTTCAGAGGTTGAAATGATCCTGCGGGAATATGCTACAGCTGCCAAAACACATGTAAGTTTAACGAACTGTAACATCTTCGCCATCATGACTATTTTTTCAAGATGCCACTAGATAAGAAGACTGGCGCGGTACTATTCGCAGTTGTCGGTGCCAAGCTTTCAGAAGGGCTGAATTTTTCAGATGATCTCGCCCGTGCTGTTGTCGTAATTGGGTTGCCTTTTGCCAACAAAAATTCCCCAGAACTACAGGAACGTATGCGATACGCGAATCAAGCAGAGGTACGATCCGGTATAAGGAGGCCTGTTGGTGTCAAAGACGCAGCGACGGAAATGTATGAGAACATGTGCATGAGCGCGGTCAATCAGAGTATAGGTAAGCACTTCCGACGTTGTTAGTATATCAAACGCTTACTCAGCCCTGAGCAAGGCCGAGCCATCCGACACCGTGGGGATTGGGCTTCTCTCGTACTTATTGATCGACGATTCACATTGCCTGCGATTCGCGGGAAACTACCGCAATGGCTAAGAGATGATGTGGCAGTCTGTGAAACTTTTGGCCAGGCGATGAAGCATTTAGGAAATTTTTATCGAGAGAAGAGACAACGTACAGTGTGCTGATTTGGATGTAATGTAAGTATGTTGAAGCATGATGACATAGTGAGCTCCGTGAGGATAAGCTGTCGTCTGCCAGGTCCAAGCCTATGTTGAGCGCTGCAGAGCCTCCAACAGAATTGGCCACGAAAAGTATGTGAATTTCTCCAGTCGGATTTGGGTATGCAGCGGGTCGAACGTTTTTCAAGCTCCGCTCGCCCTCTATACACGTGACGTTGTTACTACGTTACTCTCGAATAGGAACTTGCAAAGGGTGGCTGCGGCTCGTAATCTGACGCATCGTCTCGGGGAAGGACCGTTCACGGTCGTTATCGCGGATCATAGTTATGATCCTTCAAAGACCTCCAGGTACTCGTCAGATGAGCCTCCCGGCCTTTCTGGATCACGGTACAGTAAGTAGTTCTGCGCCCAAACGAATTATAATTTCATTTCACGTTGTATGACAGCGGTGGTGCGATGCAGATACTATGCAACCTACCTAGGACCGTCTCCTGTCAAGTCATTGTTCACGTTGACACCCTGCTGACGTTTTCCCTCTGCGCTACCAATGATGGGGTACATGGTATCTGCTCATCAACGTTAACCGTCGACGTTGTACATTATTAATTAACCAATTCATACTCAAGTGCGCCTGCGCAACCTTACACCGCGAAATTTCACAATCAGTCACTCAGAGGGCCGTCGGACGTGCCAGTGTGTTCGCATGTACACTTGCATGTTGTCAATTTGAAAACTTGGTCGTGGCAACGATTTCAGAGCAGCAAAAAACAGTACTACAATAGTCTCGATATCAATCATTGAATGGAGTTCGAGTACAGATCCAAATTATTTTATCATCATAACCTCGAATGAGATTGTAGAAAGAACTCGAGGTGCCAGGTACGGTGGGGTCTGGATGCTTCAAACGATTGATCTGGATATTTGTCACGGGTGGCATCTGGCAGCAGGAGTCCATACCCAGTGAAATCTGACGCGGAACGTCAGCTTGCCATTGTATGTATATATAGATCTACATACCTAATACAGAAGGAACGTTTTACATAAATGTAATCACAAATTGTCTGGGTCTTCCTTGTAAATATTGGGCCTGCCTCGTCACGAGAGACTAGGCAATAGGAACACTAGAGTTCTTGCTCGTACAAGTGCACCACAAACACAAGTCCAGTGAACATGGACGACCACTCCAACCAAGAGCTCTCCACGACGCCCACTCCAACCAGTCACCTTCATCTCCACCGCAGCAGAAGTCATAGCTCACACTGGTCACCCACTGAGACACCAACGCACCATAATTTAGGGACGTCCTACGTTCATTCCTCGTCACCGACGCCGCGGGTACCGTACCCACAGCCATCCATTAGCCATAGTTTGTCAAACAGCCGCACCCGCAGCACTAGCACCAACAGCTCTCATCGCCCTCGCCGTCCAATCAGGGACAACGATGGCATGCTCAGCCAGGACGAAGAGCTTAGCTATGAAGATCAAGTTAATGATAGAGGTATTGGGGGAAGCAGAGACCGTGGCAAAGGCACTGCACCCTCACAAGACCAAGAAGGAGAAGTGGAAGAAG